GGCGAGCGAGGAGTAGAGCTGATAATTGTGCACGCCTATAGAGTCCGATCATCGCTCCCCGCGCCTTCATTGGTTTACATTTATTAATTCATATCTCGTTAGTGTCATTTTTATACCGACGTTTCGTGAACATTACAGCTCACTTCATCAGGGTTTGAAGAGCAGCCTGATATGATGTATCAGGCTGCTCTTCAAACCCTGATGAAGTGAGCTGTAATGTTCACGAAACGTCGGTATAAAAATAACACTAACGCGGTTAAAACCCGAAAAAACATCTTTGTATGTTAATACTACACACCGCGAAAGCATCAAATATCAAATTCATATCTCAATAAATATTGCGAATTTTGCAAAATAGTATATAACTTTTCTGTTCAGAATAACTCGATCTACCTACACACGTCGGCTTTATAGTTCGTCGTCAGACACCCTGTATATACAGGGTGTCCCAGAATTGGTTTAACATCTCTCGTAGGCAGGTAAAAGGAATAAAACTGAGGTAAAAAGTCCTATACCATTTTGCTAGATTCGCAATAGTTACTGAGATTTTAATTAACAAAGATCCGCGAATAAGCGTGCATCGGTCTTACGCGCGTAGGACAGCCCGGCGCACAATTACATTTTAATATGTATATGTTATAGTATATGCTGTTATATTAGCTCCTCCCATATGTCGCTATGGGTAACACCGTTAGCGCGCGAAGCGCGGCGGGCAGTCTTACGCGCGTAAGACAGCCCGATGCATGTTTATTCGCGGATCTTTGTTAATTAAAATCTCAGTAACTATTGCGAATCTAGCAACATGATATAGGATTTTTCACCTCAGTTTTATTCCTTCTACCTGCCTACGAGAGATGTTAAACCAATTCTAGGACACCCTGTATATATAATGATTTCTGTGTCCGTGAGTGTTCCTCTGAATACGTTCTACAGTTGGCATATATCTATTTGTTATAATATATTTATTTGTTATATCTTTTTCATCTTATTTATATACGGTTTGCTCTATTCATTTTTTAATGTTTTGATTTTTACATATATATATTTAATTGTATACACAATACTATATATAGATATAATAGAATAAAATAATACTATAATAGAATTATATTTATTTAGTGGCTACATATAAATATTAATGTTAAATATACATATATTTTTTTAAACGAGACTTTTACAATATACGTTCCTTTCATTTACCGGAGACATTAATAGATCCATCTATTAAACACATATATACATATACACATGTTATTTGTCAATGTTAAATATTAAGTAAATGGCCAATACTTTTACGTTTTGAGAAGAAAATAGGAAGGAAGAGCAGTTACATTATCGACACGACGTAGTTGTGGACAACCGATTGCTACTAGTTAGTTCGCACGGCGCTCGTTGGCGCTACGAGCAACCGCTCGCTTGGTTTTTGGTTTTGGTGCGCTTGTGGCTCTTGAACCGAGAAAACGGTTAGTTCATACGCCAGTCTATGTCTGTATGTAGATATAAAGAATGTTAGCAAAAATATATGCTAAAAGTGTCCAAAAATATTCACAGTAGAATTACGCACATCCAACCAACATGGCTGATGCAACGCAACCGCTCGCTTGCCTTCCGATCCCCGCGCCTATTTCGCGATTTATTGACCCTGCTGCCAGTAATAACCGAAACCGGCCCAGTGGTCTCGCGGCCTGAGTGCAGGGGCTGCGAACCTGGAAGTCCCGAGTTCGAATCCGCTCACCACCTAAGGATTTTTTCCGGGCCGGTCCCTTTCAACCGAGTTTATCGGTTGATTGGCGAACTGAATCGGGCCTCCAATAATTAATTCGGGTGTAATCCCGAATTAATTTCCCTCCCACAAGGCGATTGTAGTCATACCATCTTGAGCACGAGCCCGACACAGATTGGGCACGCCCACTGTGAAAGACGGCCGTGTATCGCGTGGTAGTAGGTAAAAACTGCACATCCCCCCCCCCACATTCGTTCTGAGAATGTATATCAGTAGACTGGCGTTTGCTCCTCTCTCGCAGGGGCGTGAGCCATAGAAGCAAAGAAGAAGAAGAAGTAATAACCGAACAAAGCCTTTGTGATTACGAATAAAATTTTGTCATGTGCAATGGCTTTTAAAGAGCCGTCTACAATGGAGAGTTGTAGGCCGTAATAGTAAGAAATTGACCAATCACAGACAAAGTACAGAAGAATAATCGATTGTGATTTGTCAATTTCTTACTGTTACGGCCTACAACTCTTCATTGTAGACGGCTCTTAAAACGTTCCAATACGGTAGCGTTAGCAACAGTAATGTTCTTCGTGAAGTCATTGGTCGCGTTCAGCAGATTCCAGCAGTTGCAAAACGGTTAAGCAAATGATCAGTGAACGCTTAAGAGCCGTCTACAATGGAGAGTTGTAGGCCGTAATAGTAAGAAATTGACCAATCACAGACAAAGTACAGAAGAATAATCGATTGTGATTTGTCAGTTTCTTACTGTTACGGCCTACAACTCTCCATTGTAGACGACCCTTAATGGCCCTTAGTAATATAGATCATGCTTGCTGAACGGTCTTGAGCTTCAGATCTGTATAAAGAGCCGTCTACAATGGAGAGTTGTAGGCCGTAATAGTAAGAAATTGACCAATCACAGACAAAGTACAGAAGAATAATCGATTGTGATTTGTCAGTTTCTTACTGTTACGGCCTACAACTCTCCATTGTAGACGACCCTTAATGGCCCTTAGTAATATAGATCATGCTTGCTGAACGGTCTTGAGTTTCAGATCTGTATAACATGTCACGTGACCCTACACTGTTTTTTAATAAAGCCTAAACATAACCTCTCAGTGTGTTTATTCATAATAAACTAAACAGTAGAAAACAAAATATTACCTAATTATAAAAAAATTAAGTGTTATAATTTACAATTTGCAATGGACAATTTAAATGTGATTGTTTTATTTGCTATGAATAATGGCAAAAACGACACTATATATTTTGAGGTTTTCAGAACTCATTTTCTCTTACATACAAATCAAAATTATCCGTGTTTACATTTCTCATATGTGTGCCGCCATATTCTTTTACAACATGTTACGCTTAGGTAGCAGAGAAAAACTTCGATGGAAAAAATGGCGTCCGCTCCCTAAACATGTTGAGTAGCGGCAACCCTGGCTAGTACGGTGCCGACCTGAAGCTCAATGTTACGGTGCAGACAATATAGTAGCCTCTCTCTCCAGCTGCTTTGTGCGCATGCGGTGAACATTCAAGCGCGCTTGCGCATTTCTCTTTCTCGCGTTCTTTCTCTCACTTTCCAATGCTTTGTCTCGCTCGCACTCACTTGGTAGATGCGCCTGCGCATAATGACGCTCGACCATCTATGCCCATATTTGGACTTTGTGCGTCTCCCTTTCTCGGGCCTCGTGCCTCTCATTGCGAAGATACGCGACTAGCCAGGGTTGAGTAGCGGTGACTGAGCAGAGTGCGTTCAGCAGACACTCACCCAACAGTTGTACAACAGTTGTATCTGCTGAACGCGACCATTTTGTAGGATCAAACGGGTTTCGCGAGATCAACCAATTGCGTTGGTCAAAATGGCTGACCGATCAACCATTTTGATTGGTCAATTTTGTTACAAGTTGCGACTTATGCGAATCGAGTTTAAGGAAGCAAAGCGATTGAAGCGTTCGTCGAGCTCCGTTGAGTGAGATCTATTTGATATTGCACCGATCAGTAGGTTATAATTGAAGCGTTCGAATGCTAACGAAGTGCGTGAAGAATCCGTTAATAAAAGATAATACAGTTGTTTTGGAAATAATGCCGAAACTCCGAGTATTCGACAGCGCAACAGAACTTCTATACATATTAGATGTGTCTGAAGAGGACTCGCAAAAAGCAAGTCAAGGTGAAAACTGCGATATTAAGCATTTTATATTCGTTATAATTTTTGCGGCTACATACACTATTGTTTTGATTTTCACCGCAGTCCAGTTGATCATTATAAATACTTCGAAGTGTTTTGAGCATAAATAGAGATCACATTCTTCTTTTGCGCATACTTCAAAAAATTATTGAACACAAGAAAGCATAGTTTATCAATCATATGAACCATCGCTTATGGCGTTCGATTTTCCAGCCGTTAATAAACCAAACTAGAATAAGAGACTTCTTGACACTTGAATTTGATTTGTTCAAATAGATGCCACCTATGCGATGCAACTTTTGAATAATTACAAAGCAAATGACGATTCTCAGGTAGAAGCATCAGGTATAGTAAATATTGTATTTTTTTGTAGTAATTTTTAGTATAAATAAAGCCATAATCTAAAGAAGTAACATATTTGTTACATAGCAGATAATGCAGAAGAAATAGTGCCAGAACTTTCTGATCCTCTTTCTGGTCAAGAAAAAGGTATGATACATTCTTATGTTTAAAAAAAATCAAAACATTTTAATACAAAAACAGTAGGTATGCAAATAAATGATCATGTTTCAGAGGGCTTTGCAGATGGTTTTCGTTGGCCACATGAGGCTATACTTTTACTTCTCAAATATTATAAAGAGCAGAAGCATCACATGGCAACTGGAAAAATGACACAAAAGAAATTCTGNTCGATGGTTGCTTCAGAATTGAGTAAGAAAGGTTACGTAGTTACAGGTTCTCAATGTAAGAGTAAAATATCAGGGTTAAGAAATACATATAAAAATATAAAGGCTCACAGAAATGAGAGATACAGACGCACATGGCACTATTATGAGGTAAATATAGATAACTATAGATTATATTTTTTTACTTCATTTTTCATCTTTTATCTTTTATATATTTTTGTACTATTTTGTATTTATTAAGAGGTTTGAGATTCTCATAATAATTGTACTAAGTTATGACCAACAGTTCTTTCACACTTAACAATAATGCGATATAATGTTAGCAAAAATCNCAAGTGTCTTAATACATCTTTTGTTCAATATAAACATATTTTTGGTGTGTCATAGATCTTAGATAAATTATATCAAAATAAGGAAACATCTTGGGCAGATTTGGAGACAGCGGATGATGATCAATCTTTATTATTTTCTGAAACCGAGGAGACTAAAAAGAAAATTAACAAACGAGATAGTTCTTTATTAGAAGGTGAATCGGCTTCTAAACGTAAGTATTGCAGCTAACTTTCTGGGCAAAGTGCAAGTAGTTTCATGTAGCATAATATTTTATATTATCTGTTCTCTTTTTTTATTATTGCAATGTCAATGGAATTGCAGGTCTAAGAACTTCGGAAGATATAATTGGTATTATGGAGGGACGTGCTAACGAGAGAAGGAAGATGCACGAAGAAGCAATGGCTCGTCAGGACTCATTACTTGATATATTGAAGAAGACGATTTGTGTTACAGAAAAAAGTCTTCTTCAGCGCAGATTGATGCACGAAGAGGCGATGGCTCGTCAGGATAAATTGTTAAATATGTTCGAGAAGTTTCTTCATAAGAACAGCTAAATATGTATAGACAAAAAGTAAATTTATTAATTTTTGATGTATTGTGTATTTTTTTGTTTTAAGAGAATTATCGACTATCATTCTTTTATCTATAGTTTTTTTTACGACAGAAATTAAAGGGTTGTTCATCAAATAACTTTCTAAACAGTAATTTTTTTACAAATAATGTGTGTTCTTTTAAGTTTGCTAAAAAAATTAGTTCCTAATATTTTCTATACATTTTATATAAATACATATATATGTAAAATATATTTGCCTCTGTGTAAAAAAACAGATGAATACCTAATAATATCTATAATTAATAAATTAATTGATGTCACATATCTGTGTGCACAATATTCTAAACGAATTGTAAGAAGTATAAGCATACAATAGTAACACAATTTGTTATTGTATGAAATCATTTTATTAAAAGCCACTTTTCTTTTTATGTTTTATCGAATCATGTAATAACGTCAAGCAGAATCCGAACTTTTGATTATCTCTTTAGAAGTAGCGGAAAATTAAAGTTTGAAATAAGTTTAGTTCTTTATATGCGCAACGAGAAAGAATTTAGCGAGTGGTTGACCTACTATTTCATGAATTTTTCGAATATCAAGATTGCTACTAAAAATGATACACAATAAAATATTCCAATCTATTTTTGCGAGTAAACTTCAGTTAACAATCAACTATAATTTTATGTAATTGTTACATAGTCGTAATTATTGATCGTTTTTTCTTCTCAAAGATGATTATTCTTTCTTTCCTCTTATTGATATAGTCAAAAAAGAATTTGCTAATTTATGTAATTCATCCACCTGATCTCGCCGCGCGGTGAGGGAAAGACGGGCGGTTCACGTGGACGTGACAAACGCAGAGAAATAAGAGTTATCCTTGCCACGTGATATCGCGATCACGTGGCTACTCATTCACGTGCTTTCCTCCACGGCGCACGTTCTATCATAGCGTTACGTAAGCGAAAGCTCGCGCCGTTGCTCACAATCATTGACGCACAGTTGTGTTTGAATAATTTAATAATAATAATAATAACAATAACAGCAATAATAACAATATAACAACAACAATAATAATAAAAATAAATATTAAAGACGCAATTAAATATAAAAAGTCTTTACGCAAAATACATCACCTCTAGAATACTTAAAAAAATGAAATAGTTTATAAAGCTGTTCTTAATCTTAATCTATAACAAAAATATAATAAATAAAATATAGGATAACTCCGACGTCACACCTATCGAAAATTATTAATAATTAATAATTAATTTATTAAATATAAAAACAAACTATCAAAAAATCATAAAAAGTAACTTATTAAAAACGAAAAGGTATTCTCTACAGTCAGAAATAAATAAACTTTGGAACGCGTGACCCAACTAGCCTCATATCAATGTTGGCTGAAATATTTTATTATAACTAAAAGCTTGTAAATAAAATAGCAATGATACATTAAACGAGTAGCGATAAACATTAAAGTTCAAAAAATACATTAATGACATGTTAAAACAACTTTTCTAGTTTTATTAATCTATAATTGCCACGTAGAAAAAAGAACAGACATTTAATAATTTTATTTTTGGTGCATAAAAAAAAACCGCTCGTGTTCATCCGTTGACAACCGATTGCAGACGGCATATGCAGCGCAGTAGTCTCCGCCTTCGCACTTTCTTACGCAAGCATCAACGTGTTACATACACATTTCAGATATTGAGATATTTGCAAGTCCCAAATGGTTTCTTAACTCAACTAGCTTCGTTCTACTACAGACGACTTTGTTCAATATTCAATGAGAAACAAAGACAGGATGACTCTTGTGTCGTTAATTAGAAAGCGTCCTACGCACGTCTGTGCAGCGCAAGCGCTGTATTACGAGGCACATATCACACGGAATTCATTCAGTTTCATGCATATGCGCACATAATCTATAGTATACGTTACGTGTGCTATGGACAAATGAGCGCATATGCATGATGAAACGGAGAGAATCTGTTCACTCTAAAATTGCTTTTAAGTTTGGATTACAGTGAGATATACAAGACAGCTGAACTAAATAAAAAAATAAGCTAATTGCTTGTAGTTTGCTGTATTCTACCTTTTATTATTCTACACTTATCTATCGCAAAATAATCACTAACCTTTTTACAAATCTTATAGTAATTATATCTAATAAATAGATATCTAATAAATATTCACATATCTAATAAATAGTTGCGTTACTTATCACAAGTTGATGATAAACTGATGATGGTTTCAAATATTAACAATAAAAAGCTGAAATCACATAGTAACATAAAGGCATACAACAAAATAGTTGCGCACAAATTATTCTCACTTCTATTTTTTCTATTTTCTATGCGATGCGAAACCTGACGTGGAGCAAATACCTACCGAAGTTACTCTACTATAGACAACAATAACTTTGTCAGCAATTATTTTACAAAATAAATACACAAGCTTAAATAGAAAGTTAACAATTCGTTACAAATAACTTTTGATAAGAGAGTAGCAGTGCGAAAGCCAAAAAGTGATCTTTTCTCTTGAATAACAATGTATAAATTGAACTATTTTGCTACAACGTAAGAAAAGAATTTGCGGAACTTTTGCGAGCTATGGAAATAAAGGATAATTCTGATTGACAATGAGTGAATGGGAGAGAGCAAGAATGAACATTCAAGTAAAGCAATTCATAAAGATAAAAAGGAACATCAGAAGACTAGGAGACCGTACAAATTATAGACAATATAAATGTAAGACACATTTCTAGTGAACTCTTAAGAGGGTACTGAATACTGATAATAGAAACCTGTAAATCGACGTTTTCCCTGATAGGAAACCATTTACAAAATTATGTGACGAAATCTTGCACTAAAATTGTAATTTGCAATTATACAGACATATTTTATGAAATAGATGCAAAAACATTGATCTTTTCTGAAATATTTGTAGTTGCTGGCAAAATTACTTTCCAAATACTATTTCGGCAAAAGAATAACGATATGGCGAATCATCTTAGCAGTATATTTGCAAAATTAATTTCACAAAGAAATTGTCCAATAATTGAGAAAAGAAATTCAGCTATATGATGTTTCAAATATATAAAAATATGATTGCATATGAAGAAATGCAAAAAATTGTCGTCACTCATGATGTCATATTTGTGCAATATTTTCACAATTTGCCTATTGAAGCTATATACTGTGGAAATGCATAACGACTTTTTCGCAATTTTTGACAAATATTATTTACAAAATTTTATTTCGACAAAACTGTTGCGTTATGGCGAATCATCTTAGTGCAATCATTGCAAAATCGTCGCCATTCATGATGCCATTTTTGTGCAATATTTTCACAAATGTGCCTATTAGGGTTAAAAACTTAAATTTCTCTAATTTCTAATTTTATTTACTGCATCACGTGAAAAGTGCTTCTATAAAAGCAAATAAATAAAACAATGTATAGTGCTTTTGAAAATGGATATATAATGCTATTTTGAACTCTTTTTTCCATTCATAATGATAGCATATGATAACTTATACTGTCATCACGAATATCCCTTTTTCTCGTCAACTAGACATTCCAATCATAATCTAAGTGTCTCATTATATTCTTTTTTGTCGTACTTTTATTGCTAGGTAAGTTTAAGTACGTATATAAGCTTACAAATAATTCTACTACATGAATATATAATGAACTTATAGAAGAAAACTGTAGTAAAATAAAAATTTTTGCTTATTTTCGATAATCAAAAGTACCTAAAGAGAAACGTTGACACAATTTATTTAATTAATATTATAATAATTTATTTATTTCTATAGAAGCATTTTGGATTTGATGCAGTAAATACGACACCGAAAAAAATTAAAAACTTCGGTTAACCAAAATAGCATTAAAAATCAGAACGGAAGAAGCTCATTTATTTCTGATTGGATAATCTTTCATAAATCTTTTCTGATTTTTTGGTCTGCATCTGCACTTTAAGGGGATCCTAAAGTGGGTCTGTTGTATCGATAAAACTGAATTTTTCGCGCACACTAAGTTTTTTTTTGGCTGTATGGATCGACAAATTCTTTTCTACGATTAAAGTACATATAATAAGGGATACGGGAGGTCCAAATTTATATAACAAAATGAAAAAAATTTAAATTTTTAAAACATTTTTTTTCATTTTTTATGTAAATTTGGACCTCCCGTATGTATTCCTTATTGTATGTACTTTAATCGTAGAAAAGGAGTTGTCGATCCATACAGCCAAAAAAAACTTAATGTGCGCAAACAATTCAGTTTTATCGATAAAACAGACCCACTTTAGGATCCCCTTGAAAGTGCAGATGCAGACCAAAAAATCAGAACGGAAAAGATTTATGAAAGATTATCCAATCAGAAATAAATGAGCTTCTTCCGTTCTGATTTTTAATGCTATTTTGGTCGCGCGGTAAACGATACATAATGTCACAGAACGGATTCAATCTGATTGGTAACCTCTTCATTATAAATCGTTTTTATTCCGCTTTTGTGAAACAAAAAAAAGTTGGAGAGATGATGGAGAATCAACTAATCAGAATAACTCCGTTTTGTAAAATTATGTCTCATGTGATTCCCGATGATTGCTAAAATCGGAATAAAATCGCAATCTCGTTTATTTGCGATTAATAGACCTTCAATTAGTTTTTTTTCTCTCTCTCTCCGTTCCTATAGCATTAAACTAGAAAACAAATATATTCGGTTGATGCAAATCAATAGGTAAAAATGTTTATGCAAATCATAAATTTTATTTAATTAATATGTAAATTATTACATGTAATAATTCAAACTGAATTTCAGTTTGAAAATTTATCTTGGATGCTTGATTTGCATCACATGTAGATGAAATATTTCCATTATTCCCTCTTATAAAAATTAAAAAACCTATTGTAAGAAATCTATTACATATAACCGCGTCTTTAGCCAAGATTGAGTGTATTTTGCATAATATTTAGAATGTAGACAACATCAATGTAATCAAAGAGAGATATAAGGAACTGGAAAACACATGAACCTTCTGAGACAAAGACAAAACATGACGAAAAGAATGTAACAAAGATGCATAAAAGCGGCTCTACACTTGACGGTAACATGATGTTCAAAAGATCAATACGAGTCGACATGGATTTCAAAGATTTTTAAAGATACAATGCAAACGTTATTTATATGAATATCAAAAGTTAGAATTTTGATTGCAAACTCATTGAACCAACAATTATAAAGCTAAACTTTGATAGATTAAAATGCAGACCACTAGAGCAAGTTATTATTTAGAAATCTGGTTGTTCGAAAGGACTCAAAGACGTTAAAAGATTTTAATAAAAGAATTTAATAATCAGTCAGCAACAAACAAATTAAAGAGAATACCAGAGCTTTGAAAAATTTTAGAAGAAATTCCTCACCAAAGGAAAAGAAAAAGAGATGAAAATCACTAATGATTATTTTTTGTGAATGATTAGAAAAAACGAAAAAGACGATGTGAAAAACTCATAATGATCGAACTTGGCCAAAAATAACTTATGGCTTACAGTGTAAAAAGCTTTTGAAGAGTCAAGGCTAACAGACGCAGCAATAAAGCTCTACAAAAGAACACAAAACAAAGTTAGAAATGTATAAGAACGAGATCCTTATGGAAATCAGACTAAAAAGATGAAATAACATTGAGGTAAGGATACGTTGACAATTGATGAAAATAAATATGCTCTAAAATCTTTGAAAGTGAAATGAATCAAAAGAAAGAAGATTCAGAAGAATGTTTCAGGAAAATAGGAAAAACAATTGAATACTTTCATGCGGATGGAAAAACGCCTGAAGTGAGACATTCACTTAAAATAGCCATTAACGGATTAACATTCAAGCAAACAGAAAAGAACTTAAAAAAACTAAATCGTAAGATTTTAACGGTGAGCTTAATATTCCTTAACACTAAATAGAGAACGACAGAGGTAACAGGAGTAATGGTTTATCGTTTCGTAATCATCGTCTCTATATACATTATGTCGTTTAATTAACGTTGAGAAGAGTAGAAGTGCGAAGCGCACGTGATCTTCCTTACATATAGCCCGTGACAATGATGCCGACGGGAGCTGACCGTACTTCACATTGTGTTCCCGCCGATTGACACAAGGTCACTATCTAATTTCACGCCTCGATTGAACTTTGCTTGGTTTTGTTGTTAATACGCGCTGTTTTAATGATTCTCTTTGTCGCTTCGAGAAGTCGCGAAAATTAAAAATAAGCGTATAAAAAGGATTACGCGCTGGGAAATTATAAGAATTTTAATTTATGCTGTTAATAGCACGGAAATTACATGTGTAATTATCCTCTTTCGGAGACTATAATGTTTATATATTGTTAAATGTGGGAATTATAGAATTTCTAAACTTTAAAAATTTATCATTTATTTTTTCAAAATTAAATATTTCAAATAAATTTATTGTTCACAAAGCTTGATAAATATAACGTGACAACGTCATTGAAAAGTTATCGAAGATTTTATTCTTTGCAAACAGTATGTTGCTCCTTAAGTCGCATTTTTGTAGTTTCACATTTCACGGAATTTTTTTCACCATCACGTTACATGACTTTTCGATTGTCTCGTACGACTTTTCGTGAATTCGAGATTCTTGTGAACCAGAGATATATATGTGTATCCCCAACGGATTGCGAGCAATCATACACATCAACGCTTCGGCAAAGGCTGATCTTGCGTAGATTATTCTATAGCGTTTAATTCTGTCATTGGAATATGTTTCATACGTAGAGAAAAATGTTAAAAAATGTAATTGCAATCTACATCGTTGGATTTTTTTATGCGTCGGTAGAACGAACCTCGAGATAAACAACGAATTTTCAATCTGCAAAAAAACCTCGTTTCGAAGGTAGAACAACCACGCTTCTATTACAAACCTTTCGAGATGTTAAGATAAAAAAATGACCAACAAAATTGTCGTTCAAATTTAACAATATATTAAAAATAATTTTAACAATGTAACCATTTGTATATATAGTAGAATATTAGTTTTTTGTTAAAGCTTGCTGAGCGACTGTTGTAGATATCGGAAGCGATAGATTACAGAGCGGGAAATTACTTTCTCGCATTGAGATGCGCGTGAGGGTGTGAAATAAATTGAGTTCACCCGCATGCGTTGAATTCGTATTTTGGTAAATCGAATTTGTCAAAATTCGTGACGCTAACGTTTTTCAGAAATGAAATTCTCGAGAATATAGAGCCGTAAGGAAAAGTAGTATATCTCTGAGGATAAATCTGAGAATGAAAGGGACGACAAGGGTAGTAATGCGCGATTGGAGAGTGAGTGAACTAATAACGATGGAGGCTGCGCCACGGTTTGAGTAGTGTCTCTCGCGACGAGGACGCATTTCGCAACTGCAAAACAGTCGACGCGCATACTCCCAGACGTTCGCACGTCTTCTCCGAGAACATCCTGCTACACCAGGATCACGATCTAAAAACTCGTTCATCGATTAACACATCAATTATTTTCCGTTCGTTATCGCGCAATTTGAATTTCATTTCAAATGCCCAAAACAAATCTGGTTGAGAAAGAATCGGAGTTGAAATAATTCAAAAAATATTTACACAGTAAAAAATTTAATGTAGTAAATATATATTTTGAGTTGTAAGTAACATTAAAGTGTGTAACGCGTTAATCATTCTTTCAACATTTAAAATTATTTTGCAGTAGCATTTATTTTTGAACATGTTACTTGATTGAAAATATTTTTAAACTCTCGTAGAATATTATCTATATTGAGTGCGTTCTATTTCACGACCTCGATAACGAGTCTTAAACTTCATACTTTTCGTCGCTCAAAGAGTTCTGAAGAATGAAGGCACTTTTGCCGGCGAGTCTGACTAGTGCGAGCTTGAACTACTGACGCCGGATAAACGTCGATAACGGTAAGATCTTATTCGATGCATTTCTTACAAAATTATTTATCATGAAAAGTAACGTCAAAATAACATCATATAATAACATTCATATTGTTTTTTTTTTAATATATATTAGAGATATACGTTATAAAATTTTGTGCCATATCAATATTATATTTCTTAAGAGGTAGATATCTTTTAATAGTTTTATAAATGCACACATGAAACGATCATCGAACAAATTAAAATCATGTTAATATGCTTATCAGACACGTGATTTTAAAAATAAACATAGTTTAGCGAATTTTTTCCCGAAAAGTTTATAAGGATACATGTAGAGATTTGCGAGTACGAAAGACTATACTGTAGTTCATTATTGAGGAATTCTTTTTATAAATATTAGCTGTGACTTTTTGCTCTGAACACATGTTTTTAAAATATTCTTATTTTTTATACTTGGATGAATACGGTAGATAGTAGAGAACGGCAGACAGAGAGAGAGAGAGAGAGAGAGAGAAAGAAAGATATATATTTATATATATATGTATGACTCGTGCAACAGCGTGTTTTAATTGACACAACACGGTACAATTCACACATAATCAACGAAGATAAACGCAAATTGTTGTAGGTAATGCGCCACATTTGGAAAGTAAATTGTCTCGCTAATTGTAGCAGTCGAAGTGTATGCGTTCATTCAGAGAAATTCTTGTAACACCAGACCAGAATCCAGATTATTAATATCTTTAAAATCGATCAGCAAGATATTTTATGCATTAGTTTCTAACAAACAAACAATATACGACAAGATATATCGCACGCAATACAAAGCATTGAAATTTAAAATTTTAAAAGTTTGTAAATAAATTTTTGGTAGATGTTTTTTTCGTGGAAAATTAATCCTTTTGTACTGTGTATTGTGTATGTTATAAAAATTTCCGACACATTCTTTGACATTTAACAATATTCACGAACTTTTAGTACAAGTACAAAGCAGTACATACAATGTATAAAGTTAAAAAAACCACAGTAATATCGCACACAGCTGTTATGAACAATTATTGTGGTTTTTTTCAATTTAAACTTTAAACAAAAAGAAATTCCATTGAAAGGAATATTACATTTTGTAGCTGTATCTTTACTGAGTAATGACTTTTTCGCTTTGCGTGATTAGAAAGTTTTCAATCAAGTCCATCCCTATTCACATTCATCGTACGAATCCAAACAATAGCTCTTAAATAATGTGAGGATTGTTGAAGCGCAAACATCCGCTCACTCCTGCTGCAATTTGGTCTACTTGATTATGAAGCGCAAATTGGTAATATTGTATGAAGCGCAGTCTAGTTCTGTTTAATTTAGTAGAAGCTATAAACAGAAATCACGATGTAATTTCGATGGGATCAGATTTTGACGTTATCTCAGCAAGAGAAATTCCGATAGCTCAGAGTTTTGAAGAAGACAGACTTCTGTATTAATTTAAATTAAAGAACAAGCGATTGTATCGCAAAGACTAGCTGCTATTTATAGATCTTCCACTAGAAATTGATTGAATATTAAAACCTTACCGAAATTCTATCAATTGCAATGTTTTATGTATTTTTTTTTTTACTAAGGACGAAAGTTTTGCAAGTACTCGTTTTACGACACAAAAAGTATATAACAATCGTATTTTTATCTCGAGTGCAAATTTAATTATCTGAGGTGCGAATCACATCTCTAGGAGCAAATTTCACTCGAATGAAACTCGTTGTCTCGTCTCTGAGGTTAATTATAAAATCGTGTTTGAGGATTAATCATCATGCTTGAGAACATTCCACGCATCCCATGTGGATAAAGCGGAATCCGTGTTTATGCTTAACGGAAACAGGCCTATATGCATTGCAAAATGGAATTCCAAAAGCGATAACGTTAAACACGACGATAATTACGTTTAAACGAATGGATTGAAAATTAGTTTCACGAAGTATTTCTCTAATACATAAAAAATTCATACATGTCAACGAGTAGATTATTATAGTCATAACTTTGCTTGTTTCGTACCAACAAAGTTATCAACAACAAAATAATTCAACACATTACCATCTATGTTTGAGTCCTTACTGACCTTTTCCATACATATACTATATTTAAAAATGTGGAGCTATTAAGGAGTCTCTATGTTACATAGTTATAATTATTGTCAATTAATAAAATTACGATATAAAATAGCAATCAAGAAAGTAGAAATAAAACTAAAACCAAAAATAACATATTACTAACTATAATAAAACTACAACATAATTCTAAATTTAAAAGCACTATAAATAGAAATTGATTTATATTGTAAAAGTTTGTTAAACACATATTTGCTAAACAAATATCTTTTAAATTGACGAACTTAGAAGAAAAGTATTTCTAGTCGAATTTCTTTGCTATATATCTCTCAATTAATTTTGTCATTAACATTCAAGCTGCGTACTCAATTAAATGTACACGGGGCTGAACGGAAAACCATTCCAATAGCAATTGCATCTGAAATGTCATGCAAATAGCAGCATTCGAACGCTACTGTTCACGACAGTGACATTAACTTTCAGCATTTTCAAATAACACAAAATAGCTTGTGCAAAGTACGTGAACTATCAGGAATTTTTCTCGAGATTTAACGATAGTTCGAAAACTTGAAAATAATTTAGTTTTTTTTTACATGCTGCAAAGAAAAAGTGCGAGAATGAAAGTATCGGCAAAATTGTACAAAAACGAGTCAAAAACTACGGAATCGCGGTATGTTTTCGCGATCAACGCTGTTATATAAAATAATTGATTCCAATATTTTTTTACCGCTCGCGTGGGAAGGAAACACACCCACTTTAAAATAACATCACGAAAGATTCCCGATTTGCTAGAAAAAAATCATTCTTGCTCTGTGGTTGCTGTTCGCTCGCTCGCCACAATCGATTGTCCCATTTCACCAGGAAATCTCGAGCCTTAAGTAAAATGCGGTCTCTTTTATAAAATCGGTATGATTAGAATTGCGGTGTTTTGCTCGAGCGGATTTAAAACATCAGAATCCCGCTCGAACGCTTAAATATAATATTGAATCGAAGAAATATATAAATCGGTACGTGTAAGCACAACGTATATTGACCACCTAACTAGAGAGATTTGCAATCTTCTTCAAACAAATTTGTGGCACACACACACACACACACACTTTGTTGTTGAACGCGAGTGAATGGCTGGGAGTAACGTGTGTTTACGTGTTTAAAATTTTATTACGAATAAGCTCTTTAGTGTTTATAGAATCGATTAGCAAGCGCGACGAGCCGTTCCATGACACTTGACGACTGACAAGAGTAATACGATCATGACGGATTTTTTGAATAGCATCCAAATCGTTTAAGCTACTTTATCGGAAGAGAGTGTGTTGATCCTCAGCTTGACCTCTTTCACTTGAAAGCTCAACAGGGCCGCGCATATTGCCGTGCTGACACAGATGAGAATATTCGTAATCGATTTGACATGCAAATAAATTATTTTATATAAACTCAAAGCGAGAAATAAATTACTAAAACGCGAAATATATAAACGGTAATAAGAGTCGTATGCTGGATGTTGTTGCGGAAATATGCCTATATTATATGAAGTGTCTCGATGGCCGAATTGGGAAAGCGACAGCCGGAGATTCCAGGTTCGACTCTCGGCCGAGGTGTTTTTTCGCAATATTTTAAAATTAGTTAGGGGGATATACGGGGGGTCTCATATATGTGATGCAAATATAGCATTCTATATAAATTTAAGAATTAAAATTTCAACTCAAAAACTCACGTGTAAAATTTATACGTGAATACATATATATATTAGTTAGACAAGTAAAACGCTTTCTTCGTCGAAATTTTAGAATGACCAGCGTTAATCTATAGTTTTAACTAATTATGTGCGACTAACATTAAATTTTAATAAAAGGAAGTCTCTCTCTAACTCTCTCTAACACAAAATATGTACTCCGCGCTTTTTGTACAAAAAAAATCAAGTCTTCTTGTTTCTTTGGTAATCTCAGCAAGGACGTGTGTATCAACAATACTAAAAGAAACATCAGTGTAATCTTATTTTAATATCAAGTTTTGGCATCATCGTAAAGTATTATATACATACTTCTACAGAAACAAGTGCAAACAACTAACAAACTTAGAGACGGCAAACATATTCCTTTTGACATGATGACGAACAGAGAAAAGTTGGATATAATCTTATATTTCTGGAAGCTATTTTATTTCTGTTTTGCTAAGAAATGGTAAACGGAAAGCAAAAGCGACGAAAAACAAGATAAAGAATGAATTTGTTTACAGTACGCCGCACGTCGTTTTCCACTTTCTAACTCAGCCAAACACTAAAACGAAGATGCAGAGACAACGCGCGAAAATAGACTATTAGAGGGAAAAATGGACGGTCTGAATGTCAACGGCAACAACACCCGAGAATACTGTAATATTCAATACAAACACTTTGTGGCGCCGCACGGAGGTACGATTCGCTCAAAACTTTCATCATTCTTCGCGCGTTTGCGTACTTTTCGGAAAAATATTTTAAGAACGAATAATTGAATTTTTACTTGCTACACCCTTTTACTCTCTTTTAAAATTTACTTTAACAAACGGATTTTACATCGCCAAAATCTTTATTTTGAATATGTAAACGGAAAAGTAATTTGTGACAGAGATTATTTTATTTTCTCAGAGAATTATTAATTGCAACAGTAAATATGTGTTTTTAAATGAAATAAATTTGTGGAAATGTTTAATTTGACGTTATTCTTTAATTTGATGTTTATTTTAATTACTTTATTTTGAAACATATAGCGTTTGTTTAGTTAGTTAATTAATTTAATTTAACATCTTTTTCACACACAGAGAGAAAAAGTTGATGTTTTTTAAAGAATAACTCCGATACATATGTTGCACCTATTGAAAACTTAATTTATCAAATATTACTTACGATGTTAAATATAAATAAACTGTACTAATAGAACTTTATACTGTCTTTTACAATGAAAACATTATAAATATAAAATATCCCCATTAAAGAATAATTTTCATACCACTTCCATTCGTAGACTCAAAAAGTAAGTAAGGTTACATTCTCAGTTAGTTTATCATTTTAAGGCCTGTTGTACTTTAATTTAAATATAAAATGTTTATTTGTTACATCCTAAAAAAAGTTTTTTAAAGTTGTATTTTTGTCATATATCCCATGAGAGTTATATATACGGCCACGTAAAACTCATAAATAAAGAAAGCTTACAAATAACACTCAGAATTAAATATTAACATATAAAATATGATTGTGCTGAGTAGAAAATCAAAAGTAAAATATTTTATTAAAATGAGATATATATATTTTTTAATTATGTCGATAAAATAATGCCCCTCCCTCCTATCCAGTGAAATAATGATTGCACATAAGAATTAGAATAAAATATTGCGATTCACAAATGCTTTTTTATTACTATAAAATATTCGCTTATGTACTTATTATTTGACATTTACTTATTTATTAAATAACTTTAAATAACAAACTTTTTTTTAATAAAAAATAAACAAACAAGAATTTTTAAACGAAACGTTTTTAAATAAAACTTATTTCAACAAGAAATAAATGTAATATAACACAAATGTAATATAACTTTGTTATGAAAATTTGTTATAAGCTGCGTTATAAAAAGTTTAGTTTTTAATGATTACTTGCTTAAGTAACCATTAAAAGAAGAAGTTAGGAAATAAGTTTGACTTAGTTTTTAATTGTTTATTTACAGACAAGAGAAGTTAAAACCATTAGATTTTGCAGACAATAATTTTGCTTACTTACTATGTGTCTTAAGTGCAAATTATTGTTATTTTGTCAAGATATAGTCAAGAATATACTGACGAACTCATGTTCGTATTGTGATTCAATTGCACACGCTGAAAATGTCTTGTATCCTTAACAGGTGACATGTACAAGATATCAAATTGAACAAAAATACAAGAGATAAGCGCTATACTTTATTCTTTGACCATCCGTCTATTATTATTATCGTGAAACAGCCACAGTCTATTACAAACTCTATAATAAATTATTATTATTATTATTATTATTTTACGTATCCGCAATAAATGATTGCGCTAATAGTCACGCTCGACTAAACTGACTAAATGAATTTGTTACATATAATATCAACAATTGAAAGCTGAAATTGAACAACACTAATGTATAACAATAAAATGGTTGCACTCAAATTATCGCACTCCTATTTTTTTCTATGCAGCGTAAAATCCGGCACAATAAAAATACTGGAGTTACCTTATATAAGATGACTTTTATAATTCAATATAAAGCGATAAAAGTTCTTTTATATAATAGAACTCTGGTGCAGCCCGGTATGGGATTCTTATCTCTGTTGGCCGCCAACAAAAGCCTCTACTTTTGCGAAACTCCGATGTCCTTTTGTGGATGGATTCGATACAACAAGTGAGTAGACAAAATATGTTCATATTCTGCAAAACCTTTACATCAAACTTTCGAAATTTATGCAACAAGCCAGGCAAATTTGCATTTTAATGAATGTGTATTGATCGCAAAGAGGCGGAAAAGCTGGTTGTTGCACGAGCAGATTATCGAATTGTGTTTGTGCGTTTAAAAGGTAAATCTTACCGCGCAATCTTTCTGGTCTTTTTTTCTCGAACCACAGACCGCAAATGAACGAAACCGAAGACGAATCGTGACAGTACTTCCTCTTTAATGGAGCACAAGGCGAATTTAAAGAACGATTGTTTCCGCGAATGTTCCGCGCAAAGAAATAAAAAAATTTCATTTACATAATCTTGACAACATTGTAAATAAAATTGTCTATATATTGTGAAACACTTTTTTCATAATTTAATGTTATGTATGAACTTGAATTAAAATTGTGACAAAAACTCTGACAAAAAATTGAACAAAAAATCTTACACGTTTTCTAATTATTCATAATAAAATTCATAAAATATTCATAAGTGGTTTTAATTATGAGCGTTTTTTTTCGATAAAAGTAAAACAATAATAAAATACATATAAATGTGTCAGAAATATTTGTTTCACGAAATTGAAATTTTCGAACAAGTCTCGGTCTTGGTATAAAATAAAATTCATTTTATCAAATTGTTGCGCAGCCAGCTTGACGAGATTCTCGGAAGATGTTACACGTAACATCATCTCATTATATCATGATCGTTTTTTTACTCACGTTTTTTAAATATAAATTGGAACGAGCAGAAAATTTTCCATCTGGTAAACCCGAGTGTGCACGTGTGTGTAAAAAAACTCTTGATGTGTTTTACAAACAGAAAATAGAGAAGCAATTATTATTTAATTCAACATATCAAAACCAGTAACATGGAACGAATCTTTAATTCTTTCGTATTTTGCGAAAATATTACAATGTGCGTATAATGAATTGTGAAAATAGCAGTTTTAGCCGAGCGTTGGCAGTTTCGCCGTTTTGTACTTGTTGCTATGTAAAACTGAAATAAACTGAAATGTGCCACTTTTATCGAAAATAGACTCGTTGAAATTGCATTTTTTGCCAGCGAGCAATGTGATATATCAAGAGTTGCGTGCTTCCCGCATTATTGATTCTCTTCTTCAAAGAGGTCGAAAACATTTTGCTGACACTTGAGAGATATAAAAAGAATGTAATACAAAAATTTACTCTGTTATGTAAAACTTGTAGAAATTTAATTTTAATTATATTTTTAATCAATCGAAAGTCTTCAGACATATTCGATTTTATATATTACTCTAGACTTAGTTTGCACATATATATGTATATATATATATATATATTCACTGAGATTTTAAAATATTATAATAAAACGCAAGGAATAAAAATACCATAAGTGAGTGAAAATAAAATGTCGTTCTGTCTATACATATTTAAATGTGAAAATATTTGTAGTGATAAAAAATGTCTGGGCTCCGTAATTTCTTTTTATAAAAGAGAGATATCTATCATTTATTTCTTTCCAGAATCTGTAGCAAAGAAATGCGGTTACAATGGTCGCTGGGAATCGCAGAATGGCACAAGCACGAACGAGGATTCGCTCACCGGCTGGGCAAACTATACCACTTGTTTAACACCGGAAATGCTGTGGCTTCACTATAGGGTTTACAACAATAATCTCGAAGGCGAAGTAAGCGCATATCATTAAGACGATGCATCTACAATAACGCGTGACTTTCCATCGATTTGTCAAATTGAATATATAACAATTTTGTACATGTTACTCTTGAAAATCATAATTGATTACTTTGATTCTATTAAAAGCTATCACTACCTAGTGTTAATGCTTATTTCTTCTCATTTTTATTAAAAAAAATGTTTTTAATAATTAAAATTTTTTAAAATAATTACATCTTTTTTTGTTTAATACAAATATTTGCATTTTTTATTTAAAAACTTAATTAGAGAGAAAGAGAGAGAGAAAGAGAATTTTTTCAGATGAAGATGGAAATCGCCGAGAAGACTCGTACTTTGGAATTTGTCGGTCTCAGTATCTCTCTGGTGGCTCTGCTCGCTTCGTTGGTGATTTTCTGTCGATTTAGGTGAGCGTTTTAAAAAAGAGAGAAAGAGAAAGTAAGTGAGAGAAAAAGAGAGTTTTGTGCTCGTCCAGCGAAGCGTGGTTCGCATTAAACGTGATCGCAACGTCGTGGCGCGGTTTGCTACTTCTTTTCTCTGGGATCAACAATCCGTTATTAACTCTGACTTGCAATATGATAAATGTTATTAATCAGAGTTTTTGCCAGCTAGGCGAAACCTTTTAACGATTATGAGAAACTCAATTTGAAAACATCGCGCTTTCTGAGTAGTAATCGAGAAGCAAGGTTTTCTCTCATCAGAAATATGCGGAGAACAACCTTTACAAAGACAGACTTTGTCAAGACATTATCTTTAATTTACGACATTATCTTTTATAAATTAATACGTTTGAGATGTTTTCAGCGATACGAAATTTTTCGTATGCAAAAACGAGTTTCTATCGCTTTATTATATAATATTGGAGTCATTTGCCCAATGAAGTTTGTGAGTGACGCGGCGAGAAACGATCGTATCAATTTGCATGATTTGTTTTTTTATTGAATGCGGCTAACGCGAGTTTGAAATTAATAAAGTCAAATGACATCTCTACTAATTGAATGTTACAGATCGTTGCGTAATACACGAACCAGAATCCACAAGAATCTGTTCGTTGCCATGATCGTGCAGGTGCTGATCAGGCTGATGTTATACATAGACATCGCGATCTTCCGGAGAAAGTCGCACAGCATGCAACGAGGAATAGGAAATACCGTAAGACGAATTCATCAATTTTGCTGTTACAAAAATTAAAAACAAGAAGAAAATGAGAGAGATATTTGTCTAATTTTCTCGGGGAACACGTGCGTTCGTCGCATGCTTGTATTTTTATGAAAAATAACTTAAATTCTTTGACAAAAACACGCGCGGAGAAGCACAGTGTCGATAAAATTATCGAAAAAGCAAATTTTCTTTGCGAGACGAGCTAAAGATACATAATCTTACCAACACTTAAATCAGATCGCCAATTTAGTTTCAGACGACTGAATTACTTGGCTTTTTCATGCGCGGGAGACTTCAGCTCGCATTATACATATTCGCCCAAGAGTTCTTGCATCGCGTAAAAAGCGCTTTTTTTTATGTTATTCCAATTTTGCAGCCGGTGCTTTGCGAAGCTAGTTACGTGCTGCTGGAGTACGTCAAAACCGCGATGTTCATGTGGATGTTTATAGAAGGTCTCTTTCTGCATAACATGGTGACAGGTACGTACGTGCTTCTGACGTTGTGACTTTTTTACGTAACCTCGCCTAAAAGCCAGTCTGCTACAAATGCGGTACGTCGAGTGAACTCGGCCTAGGAGCAAAAAAAAAAAAAAAAAAAAGAGAATAAGCTTTACCTCAAAAGGTCAAAAGAGTCGGTCGTAAAAGCGTTAAATGTCTGGCGAATTTTTGAGTAGCTTTTCTATGTAAATTTGAGAAAACACAATGAGGATTGTTGTTGAAATGTAATTTTGCAGTGACGGTCTTTCAAGAGACGTCTTACTATCGGATATATCGACTCGTTGGATGGGGATGTCCCGTGCTGATGACTTTGATCTGGGCCGTTGTTATGGCGTTTTATTATCATCCGAAATCAAAGTACGTTGTTTGAAACAAAGCAAATGTATAATTGACAGTATAATTGACGGAACGCGGAGAGATGTAACGTTTTTGAAATATTAGATTATTCAGATGCTGGTCAGGATACAATTTGTCGTCCTACTTTTGGATCCTCGAGGGACCAAGATTCGCGGTGATATTGGTGAGAAAGAACTTTCTTACAAACAACAATTCAATAATACTTTAGAGAAAAAGAAAAAGATAAAAAATGAAAAACTTAAATTTTTATATCGTTTACAGTAATAATAATTCACTAAGTTGCGCGTCAAGTCGCACTTTCCATTTTTATTGTTTTTTCTTTTAGCTCAATTTTTTGTTTCTTCTGAACATCATAAGAGTGCTCGTGATGAAGTTGCGGCAGAGTCATACAAGCGAGATTAAACAAGTTATGTGAGTACATCTGTGCAAATTAATATTTTATAATTTACCGTAGTATAACGGTAGTATTTTTTATTTGCGAGAGTTTTGAGGGAAAAAAAATCAAACAAAAGCGCTCCTTTCCAAGTCTAAACTTTCTGATTTTTCAATAAAGTAAATACGTATTTTCTTTCAATCGATCTTAAACACGCTTATATAATTACTCTTTTATGTATTCGGATCTTTGTGCTGCGAATTTACAAGCGCACAATTCGCAAAAGAAACACAAAGAAGTGCCACGTCGCGAGAAAAAGCTGATATTGACTCGTTAATGACCTTTCGCATTGCATTTGCATAGTTTCTCGCTGTTCTTTTTTCTAGAACAATTTCAATTGAATATTTAAATCCTCGAGCTTTGTTCTGAAAAAGAATTTATGGAGCGACTTGTTATCCTGTTGCATCGTGTTTTTGTTTTTGTTCAAAACGCAACTGACAATAGAAATGCATTTAAGTGCGTCACCGGAAGCGAAGGTAAAAGCGTCTACCTCTTTCGTACAGAAAAGCTGTGAGAGCAGCCGTGGTTCTTTTGCCTTTACTGGGTATAACGAACGTGCTGTTTATGATCGACGCCCCGTTGGATAACGTAAAGAAATTCGCCGTATGGTCGTATACCACGCACTTCTTGCGATCATTTCAGGGTCTTTTCATCGCAACTCTATATTGCTTTCTTAATGGCGAGGTAAGTCGCTTCTGCTCGAAAAGTCGCGTTGCATCAGCCATGTTGGTTGGATGTGCGTAGTTCTACTGTGAATATTTTTGGACAATTTTAGGTGTTTTTAGGTGTTTTTACACCACTTTCAATATTATCATCGTAGTCTCTAGTCTAAACAAGTACATACTAGTAATAATAATAAATCGAAGACTGGCGTATGCTCCTTCCTCACCGGGGCAAGAGCCATTACAGCAAAGAAGAAGAAGCTTCTGCTCGAAACACGTTACAGCCGTCGAGACTCGCAACATTAGATCTTCGACAAAGATGATCAAAATAAAATAATTAACAAATATATTTAAGAGAACTTGTTTGTTTGAGAATTAATTTGTTGCATTTTAGTTGTGTTTCTATGCATTTAGTTGCCCTTATTTTGTAGGTAAGACTCGCTCTAGACAAGACTATTGCTGTTTATCTTTCTCTGAGAGGAGCCGACTTGCAGACCAGAAGACAGTCGGCTTTCAGCGGATGTCAGCCTCATCGAATAACTTCGGGTAAATATGAAAATCGATACGCGCGATAGCTGATTTTCAGTCATATATCTCGCGGCGTAGTATCGCAATAACATTCTGCCACATAATTGTCTCTTTTGTAACGAAAGCTTTGTTTAATCGCGGGTGAATTGGTGGTGCGCATTATTATCACAGGAATATTTTCCGCAAAATATATATCATTTATCGGGAATATAAAATATTCCGGAAAAAATTGTGCCCCAAGCTAACTGAAAAATATCACAGAGTCAATTTACTTGCAACGTGGATCTATAACGACGACGTGTAGCTCTCTAACAAGATGAAAAAAAATCATGTTTAATAAATTTTACGAAGTATACAATAACTTTTGAAGAAAACTTTAATTTTATTTATTGAATTATCTCTGTGTTGTACATTGCGCTTACTCGTTTGTTATTGTTAATGTTATCAAAATTTCAACGGTTTGATCTCATCGCGCTTGGTTGTGGTGATATTCTTTTAACTTTTTTAACATCAATTTTATGTACATTTTTTAATTTTTTAATTTTGTTGACTTATACTATATTCTGACTTAATGTAATGACATATTGTTATGACTATCTCTTCATTTGCGATATGATTCTTGATTATTCTTGTATTATTCTAATTATTACATTTATTATTTTATTATGTTTTTATCTTTTTTATTGTTTATTTTGTTTTTTTATTGCACTTATTGTAATATGTTTACTCACCAAGGAAGATTTTAATAAGAACAGAAAAATACATATACAAGAGAAAATTACGTAATTTAACAATTATTTTGCTCATGTTGATCTGCCTTTCCAACTTGTTAATTATTTCATTCAAAATGTTTACATGAAACTCGCATTTTCTCTTTTGTAGAAAAGTATTGCGTAACTGACAATATGTTAAAATGAAACAGTCATATATTGACAATGATCTCGGTAATACTCCAGTGACGATTGCGTATGAAGATTCATAATTTCTGGTAATACATTAACATTAGCAGATCACATGCAGCTTATTGTTTAGGATAAAAATCCAAATTCCCGATATTAGTCGATCCATACGCTTATTAAGGAAAAAAACCTTGGAGTTGCCGATTCTAATAATTTACTAATGAGAGAATCAAGTGCAGTACCGACGTGCAGATTTTTTTAGGTTGATACGATATACTTTTTGATGTATTGTATTACAAACATTATTCGTTTAAGCAATTGATGGATAAATATTTACAAAAGATCATCTTCCTCCGAATTCTGTGAGATTGATATATGTTGCCAAGGACACTCCTCTGAGTAACAATCAAAAAGTTTTAGCCGTCGCTTGTTATTTGTTAAAAAGTTATAAACAAAAGAAGTTTCATAAATTCTTACTTTCCAACATTATGTACATTTTGTTTGTGTTGTAAGTTGTAAGCGTATAGGCAGGAGAGCTACGCCCCCTTCCCCTGCACCTCTTTCGAGAAAAAATAGGGAACAATTTCTGATTGAGTGTCGCTAAAAATTACGTACATACTATCAACATAAAGCGACACGTAATCGAAAGTCGTGCCTTATTTTTTCTCGAGAGGGAATGCGTAGCCTCCCTGCCTACATGCTTACACGCGAATAAAAAGAACAAAAAAGTAGTCTTGTTATTTTAATTCAACGTTATACATGATGTACATTGCAAAATATTGAAAGAATTTGGCGTAATATGTGAGCGAATATTCCACGTTAGGGAATATCAGTAGAACATTACAAATTTTACATAGCTGAATACTTATTTAGACATCGCTTTGCAAAGAACGGATAAATAAGTTTTTCATAATAATGTCAGAGATATATTTATTACATGATATTCGGCTACAAAACAATGAACAATACTTATAATGCATTATGATAACAGTAAAAACATATAACATTGTACAACATTACACAGAATAAATAAGAAAAATGGAAAGTTCCAATATTTGTTTACGGTCTCATTTTTTTAAATAACTTTTTACAACGAGCGACGGCTAAAACCTTTTGATTGTTACTCACGAAGATGTCCTTGATAACATATGTCAACCTCATTGAATTCGGAGAGAGATGACTTTTTGTAAATATTCACCTAATTGATGATACTCATTGAAGAAATTGATGACGTTAAAAAAAAAGTGGCTTATATATTACGATTACAAAAATTTTTATAATCATTACTTGACGCAACTTTTTAAAAAAATTGATCTTATAATATAGGAAATAATAAACTGAACATTTTTCAGAATAAATAAAAAGTTGAAATTTCTTTAATCGATTCTTGAAAATATGCATAGAACGAATTAAGAAATTCTTCAAAATATAGATTTTTGTAAAATCTCTTTCTAGACGAAAATATTCTTAAATATCTTGTATCTACACTGAGAAAAAAAAGTTGGTGAAGTAACAAAATAGTATTCGATTCACCTATATGCAGCGGTCTCACGGGCTGTCAATAAAATATTGATTAATGTAAGAAGATATCATGCTTCAATAGATATAATAATTAGATTATACCGAAAGACAATTTAGTTGTGTTTTAACAAAATTATAATTTGCTTAAATACAGGTAACTTTGAACGTACAACACAATAGAACAACACAATATTTTGTCTGCTTATAAAAATAAGCAGTTTGATTAAATGAAATACTTAGTACAAAGAAATTCAGATTATATTCAATTAAAGTAAATGAGAATTGCCTATTTCATCTTTTTTAACAGTATCTTTTATTTGAAATTATCACAACTAACTTATGTTCGACAAAACAATTCATGGTTTAGTGAATTAAATATGTTCATTACCACTATTGTTAATTCAACTTATACGAATTTGTTATCTTTATTATCATATACTTGAATTAAAAAACCAAGTATTTCAGATAACAAACTGAAACTTAACTAAACGCATTTAGTTGAGTTAATAGTATTTTTTTCTCAGTGTATCGGGCTGGTAGACCGGATAACAATATCGCGGTAAATTAAATTTCTCTTTTATTGTTGTAGTATACTATACGTACGTTATAGTATACGTACACGTCCACATTCTACATTCTAATAATTTTTTTGCAAAGTTTTGCTATACAAAATGTGTTGTAAGTTGAGGTCAATCGCTCAGAAGGTAATCGAAGATCCAAAAACAAGAAAAAAAGTTGATATGAACATACGTTCGGAAATGCATTGTTTTCGAGTTATCGCCATTTTTATGTTGAAATTTGAAATTGCTGTATTTTCGTATTGCAAATTTTTTGTCAAAATTGAAAGAAAGAATGGTTAGTTATATGAGTTTTATAACTATAGTCAAATAAAAGTTGCGGAGTGCTTTAGCACTACCCAGGATGCACTACGTGGAGATACAGCTCTTATCCCTTGGCAAAGATCAAGACCTTATAGTTCGTCAATTCTGTGATATTTAGTGACTCCAAACCCTCTCTGCCGCGCGCGCGTATACGTGGAGGCGGCGGGTGAGTATGAATGACAATATAAAAATTATAAGAGCTGTTCGAAATGTTTTTCTTCTGTAAGAAATCAAAATACAGTAATTTCAACATAAAAATGAAGATAACTCGAAAACAACGTATTTCTGGACGTATGTTCATATTAACTTTTTTTTCTTAGTTTTTAGGTCGTCAATCACCTCCCGAACGATTGATTTTGACTTAAGGGACACTGTATACAAAAAATAGTTAAACATATTGAGAGAGTTTTTAAGCATCTACATAAAATTAAAAACATTTATACATACACACACACATATACAATATACACATAAAAAGTATATAATCACAAACTTTAAAAAAATTAATAAAAGGAAACGTTGTCAGAGAGTATGCAAATATTTAAGTATAATAACTTTTAATTACTTGCTGGCTTGATCTTGTTAATTAGTTTCTCAAAACTCTTTTCAAACGCGACTGTGTTTGTATGTTATTATAAACCTTTCTATCGTCATATACCTTATTATATATCTTTAATTATAGTTTAAAAAAATAAAAAACATTTAAACATTTACAATAAATAGAAAATTAAATTAAATAGAAACATTTGCTTTATTGCAAAACATGCATGTTACAGTAATCGAGCTAGAGAAGGAAGAGACAAGATCTACCGGATTGGTCAAACTCTGCTGTCGTGGCGGAAATACACCATCACCGGATCGCCCTGTCGAGTAAGTAAATGATCAAGGAAGGCTCGTTTGTCGTCGACGATCCGCAATTTAGATCGTTATCAAGGTCAATCTATGTATATCTCTCACAGTCCAACTATTGTGTATAATAAGTAAAACACACGTTAAATGCGTCTGTAACACGGTCAGTTTCTCTCGAGGAAACGCGCTACGTTGCTCGTGGTAATTGTCAATTGTGTCATCGCTCTTGCGTCGTGACAATTTGTAAAGTTTTCATCACTGCCATTATTTGTCATAAATTAAATGAGTTACGATTAAATCTTTTTATGCAAAGAGTAAAGTTGAATAGAAATGAATCACTCTTTGTTTTTCTTTCCTTTCAGTCCTGTATTGAAATTTGAAATGTGTCTTCTGTTCATTTTGATATCTGTTGTATCATTTCACATATTATTACGTATATTATTACGTTTTGTATTGTTAATTTTACTTATATTTGTAATTGTATTTATGGTTACGACTGTCAAGCCTTGTAATTATATAACAAATTTAACAATATCGGCTATAGATTAATATTATATTTATTTATATATGCATGTGTATTAGAATTAGGATTTTGTTAACAAAAAAAGTATGTAACTTCTCTCTGCCAAATAATACGGACAATAAAAAAAGCAGGTTGGTACATTTTTTTATTATGCGTAGGGGAGACCGGGGCACAAAGTAACATCCAAAATAGATTGTAAAAAAAAAATGTACGCAATATTATGTAATATTGGGTACATTATATAATAGTCACATCCTTTAGCTTTAAGAAAAAACAAATATTATTCTTATATATCTTTAAAAAAAAGAGTATTTTAATGTTAAGTACAATCGCGCAGATTTGTCAACCTGCCCCATACCCAGGGTTAATTGTCACATGTCTTTTATACAGAGAAACAACAAGATATAAAATTTCTGTTTTTTATTTTATTAAATTTATTGAGAGTACATAACATTATACATTAAGTATAAAGCATTTATACACACAATATTAATAATCATATATATATATAAAACAAGTTTAAATGATTTCACAATACTAAATCAGTTAAAAACTATAAAACATAATTAGTAATCTAATCTTTAATAAAAAAAAAACAATGACAGGTACTGAAAAAGTTATAACGACGCATAACGATCACTCCGATTACTTCTTCGCGCATGCTCACCGTGTGACAACTTATCCCGTCTCAATTTGAGTCAACTTATCCCAAACGTTCATTTTAAATAAAAGATATTATATTTATAAACTGCGATGCGATGACGATTAAATAAATATAGGAAAACTTATTTAAAACTACCATATTTCCTATACATAAGATAAAATTGCAATTAGAAATTTTAAAACCAATGAAATTACTAAAGAATCGAGATCAGAAAAATCTACTTGCCATATCCAGTTTTACAAAAGTGCTCGTAAATATCATATATAATGTTTTTAAGAAAAGTTCTTTCGTACGCGTTACTAACACAACTAGTAGCAACTTACAATAAAAAGAAGAATATTTTCCAAGATTTAGTAAGCAAGATAATAGCAGTTTGACAACTAACCCCGTGTCACAACTAGCCTCGGTCTCCCCTACCCTATTTCTTTATTATTGCTTTTATTACGCGCTTTAGTACGTGTTTTTAATATGTACTGCGTATTAAAAAAAAGTTATTTACAGGTTTTTTCAAAAAAAACTTTTCTATCTGAAGCACTGATATCTTATGATTATATAATTAATTTGCTTGTTATGGTGATTTATGTCATTCCTCTACATTGTGTTACAGAACACAAGGACAGAGAGATGGGAAGATTGAATGCGCATTTCCTCGAGGTATTTAACTGCTTACGCTCGCGTTGCGCTTCTTTCACCTCTTTGTTTATCTATTTTTTTTACATCTATGTAAAATCCAATCTGTAAAGGACAATCAATAAAAAAGACTTTCAAAGTGTACAAGTTTTAATTATAACGAGTGTGTGTACGTGTGTATTATATATCTTTTGTTTATAAAATTAGTTATAAAATATTTATATTCACGCGCGTAATTGTACTCGCAAGTTTATGTGAATTTTCAAGAAAATACAATGTTTCTATAGAAAGCATTTGCTCACGTTTCAGAACAGCTGTCTGACCGTAGCAATCATGTGAATTCTTCAACGTCCGACAACCAGTTACAAACTAAGATAATTCCTTGGATAGTGAAGCTGCCAATGTCACATTCCTCGGATTTCCGATCAAAGGAAACGGCTTTTCACTCGCAAGTTGATACCGCAGGCATCACGTCGCAGTGATGGGAACAGAATTTTTTTGCGTAGGTTTTTGTCGCTTTAAGCTTATTCGAAAACAGATTCTTCTGTTTCTCAACGTAAAGAAACATGAATGTCAAGGCCTAAATACTGTCTTGTAATTATGTAAGTTGGTAGTACTCAAATCTTTTTTTAATTAACCATAGACTTGATTCAGATATTGGTCCGTTATTGATGTACTAAATAATATTGCTGATGTCACACTATAGGTACTTATAACTGATGTAAACTTAACCTTTAGACCGCATGATGCGATGTATGGCATCGCTATGGAGACGCCAATGTTATATACCGTATTTTGGAGGAAAGTTTTTTTTCATTTGACTTTTGAGTTGTGAAAAAAAAATACTTAGAAGGTCTAAATATGTTGTATGAATGTATGGTGTAGTTTAGCTTTCGAATTTGCCGTGATCTGAGATAACAAAATTTATTTATACATGATTAGCTTGGTAATAATGCTACTGTATTGAAAAGATTTTTGCAACTTTAAAGAACGTAATCAGCGATATGAAAAATCCCTAGCAATACCATTTTATATTTTTCACTTCCGTTCCCCACCGGCCTGACATCGACTAAAGCCAGGTAAAATCTAGAGCACTTCACGCAATATAATAAACTCAATTTATATACAAATATTACGGAAAAAAATACCATGTTTTTAATGGAAAAACACCGGCGGTCTAAAGGTTAATGACTGTTCTCTAAGTCGCGTAATACTATATTCGAAACCACATATGTTTTAACTTAGTTTTATCTTATATCTCTCTTTGATCGAAAAACAGGAAGTACGTCTGTGTTGCCGATCATAGAATTCTCTTTATTCTCAGAAACGGTATCACAAAATTTAGAGAGAGAGAGAGAGAGAGAGAGAGAGAGAGAGAGAGAGAGAGAGAGAAATCCGGCTTACTTAATCGCGAAAAATTTTCTATTCAAAGGAAACTATCAGGCGCACCTTGACCTTTAGCTGACTAATTGCCCGCTCATTATCTGGCAAAAACCTATTCCTCTGACACTCGTAATTGGCGCGCGGACCAAACGTTTGAATATGCACGAACGGCTGGATGGTAATAAAGCTTTGAGGAAAAGAAAGAAACTTTGCAGAGAAGAAAGATGAGCTCTCTCTCTCTCTCTCTCTCTCTCTCTCTCTCGTAGTCCACGTATGAGGAAACAGGTACGCTTTTAAAATATTTTTTTGTAATAGTTATTTTTGCAGTATACAGTTATGCGATACAGTTGTTACCTCTTGCTAGCATCATTAAAATTAAGGTCGAGACTGTTTTAACATACATCTCAATTAGTGCTTTTTTATTATGTGTGTATGTGCGCGCGCGTTTATAATAAGAACTTTAAATCTCACGCATACCTCCATATCAAGTTTCAATTACACTTGCAGTTTCTGGAATCGCCTGAATTTACTTCAAAAATTTTACACTTAAAAAAAACCAACTTTTCCTTCGTTCTGCAAATGTGGGAATAAAATCGCGCTGTAATCAAAATTACTTGCCGTGAATTTTAAAGTGGCGCGAAAAAAATGAGAGCCATCACTAATTAACGACTCTTTGATTTAATATTACAAATTATTCTGTTACTTTGAAATTTTGCGCAATTTTGTTCTTACGTGTAACAACATCTCTTGTAAAAATAAATTAAGTTTAAAGTTAAATTGCATACATATCTGTGTGTGTTTCATTATAATTCTTGTACATATTTATTATAATTTACAATTAGATAAAAAAGAGGGAGAAAAGAAGAGTGGAACAGGATATACAGAAAAAGCAAAAGTCTGACCGATACCGTTTCTAAACAGATTTTATTGTGCCAAATCACAGTATAGAAAAATGCGCTAGTGTACAAAATTTTCTAAAAAGATTGTTCTTAAAATATAGATGATATACGAAATTTCGCTTCGAAATAAGAGAATTTAAGCCGTTATTCTTTATATAAAGTTGTATGTCATTATGCGTTCATTGACAATGATGAGCAACGTGTGTGATTGAGAGGTGAAACTCAGCTGACAAGAAAACAATATGCGTACATCTCATGTTCGCCTATTCTTTGTAGATGTACGGGTGTTTCATAAATCACGGAGAAACACTCAGATATTTATTGTGAGAAATTGCGATAGAAATCTACGAAAAGGACGGATTTGCAAACCCTTTTATTATTCGCTGTTACAATCGAATGGCAAGTAATCGACAAATTCTGACCCTGTATAGTAAACGATTAAAGTCCATTTATATCGCGCAAATTGATATAGCGTTGACGCGTTTTTCGGCATAACTATTAATAAAAAATCGTGTCTACTTAAACGTAATATTCTACGTCGTAAAGACTATCACAGATACGTTCTAAAAGCTTGTATTTAATTTTCGTTTGCACAATATGGATCCAATCAACGTGTCGCGAAGAAATTCCGTTCAGAGAAATCGCTGCCGCTCCGAGTACTCTGCACACAGAAAAATGCATACTGTATCAAGTATATAATAAGTTTATATATCCGCAAATATATTATAAGATCTTTGTAAGTATTTAATTTACTCAAAATACACTCTAAATCTTAGTAAATTTGTATTTTGAGTAAATTAAATACTTACGAAAATCTTATAATATATTTGCGGATATATAAACTTATTATATACTTGATACAGTATGCATTTTTCTGTGTGTGCGCAAATTAATTAATTAATTGTATTGGTCTTTGATTGTGATTATCGATCGTCAATAAAAAGAATCATCATATTGTCTATTCGGTACAAAAGTCGAAGGAACTGTTCTCCAGAAATCTTCTCTCTTAGCGTTTAAAACCATCTGCGTCGCGCAAGAAAAGTTTTAGAGCCGTACACAAGGGAACATTTATTTCCGAAGACGCTTTTCATCTCGCGACGAACTATCGGAACTCGTCGTGAAAACTCTTCTCGGTGTCGACCATTTTGCTCTCGAGAAACAGGTCCATCTTACTGAGGATCTCCGAGAGATCGAGCTTCCCGTCCAAATTCGTATCCGACAGAGTGATCAAATGTTGCGCCTCTTGAATAGCGTGTCTGGGATTTCGCGGATCGATGTACATCTGAAATCGAGTTTTTAATTAGAAAATGAAGAACGTTCGTTGTACAAGAAATCGACGATGCAATCTTGCTATGTGTACCATGATCAAAAAATAACCGGAATTTTTAATTTAAACCTCGCGGGCTTATCGGTTTAGAATTCTGTTGTTTGTGTCACGTTGGCAGCACTGTTACGGACACCCATGCCAAGCTTCTGCTTATCAGCTGTTCATTTACCTTTATGACAGTGATTTCTTTACATCAAGTTTTTACGTCGCGGCGATTTTTACAATGGATTCAAAAACAACGTTCTTGCNTTAAATTTTGCTATAAAAATGAAATTAAGTGTTCCGACACATTAAAAATGTTACAAAAGTGTTATGGTGACGATACTCTATCNAAAACACAGGTGTACCAGTGGTATGAACGCTTTAAAAGTGGTCGTGAGGCTGTTGAGGACGATGCTCGTCCTGGGAGGCCATCGACATCGAAAACTGATNAAAACGTCGATGAAATCCGACAATTGTTGATCGAAAATCGCAAATTGACGATAAGGGAGATAGCTGAGACCACCAACATATCATTCGGATCCATTCAGAGCATTTTGCGTGAGGATTTGGGTCTGAGGCGAGTCACTGCGAGATTGGTGCCAAAAGAACTGAATTTCGTGCAAAAATTCTCATGAGTTTCTCGTCAAAAACAACACCAATACCATTCAACAACCGCCCAATTCACCTGATCTGGCACCATGTGACTTCTTCCTATTCGATCGACTCAAAAAACCACTACGAGGAACTCGTTTTGAGAGTGTGGAGGCAATAAAGCTAAAATCGCTGGAGGCGCTAATGGCTATACCAAAAACCGACTTCCAGAAAAGCTTCGAGGGGTGGATCAAACGCTGGCACAAGTGCATCGCAGCCGACGGGGACTACTTTGAAGGGGACAACTTGAATTTTGAAGAATAAACATGTACTTTTCTTTTTATGAATAAATTCCGGTTATTTTTTGATCATGGTAGTATGAACTATGAAACAGTTTTTCTTATTTATATCTCATTACTCACCAGAAGTTCGGTTCGATCTGCTTTCCCGTTTTTGTTCTTGTCAATCAAATGTCGAAACTCCTTCCGCCTGTCTTCGCTGCCTCCTATCGATTGCTGCCGATCTTCGCGTAAATCCAGCCCGACTCCTTCCGACGGCAAATCCGAGAACTCGTTTTCCGTCAATTGCTCGTCACCGTCTCGATCTGTCAAAGTTTATTGATATCAAAATAATGGAAACAATATGTTGTTATTATTATTATTATTATTATATGGTATTATTATTATTTGTATTGGAACATATAAGAATACTTTTTATAATTATTATAAATAATTATAAGATTAAGATAAAATTTACCGAATTTGTCAAAAAGATCCTCCACCATTTGCAGGAGAGCTCTGTGGCTGCTCTCGGGATGCGTGAAAGCCAAGAATTCGTCTAGGGCCAATCTGTCGGGATCATTTCTGGCCGCTTCGGCCCATCGCGCTCTATCCCTCATTATGCTCTCCTTCAACGTCCGCGACATTTCGCTGTGCTTCTTGTCGTGGGAATTGATGTAAGCCTCGGAGAAACCATGCGATCTCAGGAAATAAGCGTGATATTCTTCCCACGACACTTCGCCTGGGACAAGCAGCAAAAGCAAACCAACTAATGACCGTAATTCGCATACCACTTGATTGTGTATTTTACTTTAACTTTCAGTTTTTCTGCGGTTGTAGGCAACTAATACTAGTGTACGGCTTCATCTGATTCCGGTTGTTTTAAATCTCTTTTTGAGTGATTACACGCAATGAGTGAAAATTTTTTTGAACTATATTTATGTGTACACACACATTTAAATTTTTATAAAGATTATTTGTATTATTTGTAAGTTATTTATTTATCGATTATATAAAAATTAAGTTTCACTCATTAATTCACACGCGACAAATTAAATTATTAATTTATCGATTAAATTAGTAATTCTTCGTGGACAGATTTAAAAGATAATGACTAGTTGGACAGACTGGGTCTATGAGACTTACGCGACTTTAAAACATCAATATTTTCTTAACTTTGTTTTTTTACTCGAAAATTTGAAAAATTCTGCGTCGATGAAAAAACAAATAAAAAAAATCTCTAGTAGTTTCAAAAATACAAGCGTTTTAAAAAAAAAACGAATTTTTACTAGAGACGGCGATGTGCAATTTTTGAATGGGTCTGGGAAACCCATGTCTGTTCGCGAAAAGTTAATTATATATTACTTTATATGAACTATATATGTGTTTTTTAATACCATTTCTAGGATTGTTGTCGATAGCGGTGAACAAGCCAACGTTTTCTCGCATAGCCCACGTTATGTGCTCGGTTATCTTTACGTGAATCCATTTGGCCAATTCTTGGATATCCAACAATTGATTCTCATCGGTATCGGCTCGCCGGAAAATGTCTTCTAGAAGATTTCTCGGATTCTCGCGATTTTCCGCCTCCACAACTCTTCGTATATTTTCGTCAATTCCGGCAACGTCTTCGTATCTTATCAGATCTTTCTTGTCAACTGTCACAGCTTCCAGCTCGACGAACAAATTGTCTATAACGGAGCTCTCTTTATCCGCATTGCTCGGGATCGACGGACTCTTTAGAGGCACGTTTTTATTGTATTTGATAAAAAGCAGAAAAATATAAATCACGAGCGGTACCAGGATGGTCCAACGCAGGAATCGCAGACAAGTCAGTTCTTGTTTGCAGCTTCGTATCTTTCAAAAGAAAAATTTATTTACTTCCTCGCCAGAACGCATTTTATGCGTTACCTAATTTTGTTTGATTTTAACTTGCTAAATATAATTTGCTTTTTAAAGTTTGAAAAAAATACAAAATTATTTTAAAAAGTTAAAAACTTAAAGATTGAAATTGATATAGACGTATAACAGAAGTATAAACGTTAATCGAAACCAATTCTCTCTGTATATACGCAGTGTTTTTTTCTCTTTCTCTCTAAAATATTGTTTTTTTTTTTTCAATTTTCCTCTTACTTACAAGATGTGACATCTCGATTCCTTAGCATGCACACGGTGACTCAAGCCGCTTTCTAATTTGCGCTTCGTTCTCTCATCGGATGGTCGAAGTTTCCAATGTTTTTCGTGCGACACAACCGATTCATCAGACTTGTCAGATTCTCACAAACACGTAATCGAAATTCTCGATCACCAGTAAACAAACCGACGATTCATCTCACGTGACATACAGCATGAAGCTTACTTCGCGGATAAAAACAAAAAATTAGGAACACACACTTCCGCGCGAGCAACAATTAAACAATTTTATGGCAAACTGTTTTTTTTAATTATGTGGAATCGAGAGAAACAAAAAACGCTCAATGCGCAATTCGTACACGATCAAAACAATTACGTTGCATTCTCACAAGAGAGGTGAACCCACACCTAGTTGACAATCGAGATTGTTAAACGATTTTGTTAACTGTCACTATAAACACGCTTTTGCGAGGTGATGTACAGTCGACTCCAAAGGAGGACGTCCATACGCCGTACGGCCGCCGAACAAGCGGTGTACGCTCACCGCGTATTGATCTACTTTCACTGTCTCGTTCTCCCTCTCTTTTACTTCCGACAGCAATGTTAACGTGCACTCACCTCGTACTTAAACATTTGATATGAGGTACCGGCATTCGGTAACTGCATCAATATATCACATTTTTTTCTATATTAAGTTTATGTGTTAGTTTTTAATAATTTGATAAGAAGAAAAAATAGTAGAATGTCAAAGAAAAAAGCTGATTACTTTTTATTTTTGATATTGATTTTTCTTTATTAATTAATGTCCTATGTGTGGAACGTTTTTTTTACAAAATAACGATTACTAAGTACAAATAACATTTTAACAACTATATCTATGTATATCTACGATCGTGGACTATCCGTAAGAGACACGCTTAATAAATTATCTATGTACAGTAAAAAATAAAACTTTACTGGATCTCTCTTAAAGCGCGTATCCCGAAAAAAGTTCTTCTAATTTCACATAATATCTATATAAAAACTGTTTGCGACGCAAGATACAAATTTAAAAAATTCAAATGAAATAAATAATCGATTACATCAAACGATTCGGTTTTGATGTGTGTGCGTAAAAAATGTGTTTTTGTTTGTTTGTGATGTGTATATGTATATTGTACGAAAATAATTTTTGTATTATATATTATTTTATAAAAATATGATCAAGATTCTCTGTGTATTCTGTCTAAACTGATAAGCTAAGTAAAGCCTAAAGAAACAAATATACCCTGTCATGGAACTTTGTTCGATCGCTCGATAAATGTTTAGTAAGCTAGGATCTATTGTGGCATATACCCCGTTCGGTGACTGCTTCCATCCTTTTGTCAAGAACATCTCACGCGACTCTCTTGCAGACGTCGGCCTGTCGGGGTTTCTCGTCTTCCAGTTCCAGACCGATGTTCGTGATACCCTGGATGTTTGCGCTCGCGGGTTTCGTCTGCATGCGAAACATGGCCGCGATCGGCGGACTGAGGAAGTCCTGATCGACGTCGGCGGGATTCTGCGCGCCTGTGGCAAAACTTACCACCAGGCCTACCAGCATCGTCAACACGCAGCCGATCGCGCTGTACCACAAATAACTGATCTGCAAATTAAAATAACAATTTGTTATATGTTTCGTATACATCGTGTGTGTGTGTGTGTGTGTGTGTGTGTGTGTGTGTGTGTGTTTACATTATACGTTTGTATATTATAATCTCACCTTGTAAAAAGAAAAGACTTCGTCGTCGGATTCAATGACCCTAGATTGATCAGAGATGATTGCGGTCTCGTTTATACAAGGACAGCCTGCAATCGATACGGATTTGCTATCCAAGTGGATTTGTCCGTTTACCGCCGCAACTTGGGCGCCTAATCCGATCCACAACACGACTACCAAACTCGTGATGGAACCTGCTATCGCTCCTTTAGCGTTGGCCCACGGCACGAACATGCCCAGAGAGAACAATCCCAGAGTCACGCCTCCCACCATACCGTTAAAAGATAGTGCGACCTAAGATCGACGATTTGTTGTTTCTTACTTTCTTCGAAGAAAGAAGCAGAATAAAAGTTATTGGTGAAAAATATTCGTGACTTACTTGCAGAACGCTACCGAGTCGTTCCACAACGAAGACAAGCGCGAAAGAAAGAGCTCCGAAAAATATACTGATCCATCGGGCGTAAACAGCACCTTTACTCGCCGGCAGGTTCATCTGAAAGAGCCCACGAAGAACGTCCTCGCAGGTTATCGCTGCCAAAGAGTTTAAAGCACTAGCCACGGTTCTGAAATGGGTTAGAGATGTTTTTGTGAATCTCGTTTCAAAAATATCTCTTTAAATTTACTCAAGTTTTTTCAGACGACACATGTATTTTTTTTTTTATATACACGAACCCGAGAGATGCGGCAAAGATTCCAGCGACAAAAAATCCGGGAACACCACGGAGACGTCCCATGAAATTCATTACATACAATGGAAGTATTTGATCCTGGCCGCTTATGTATCCGGCGGTTAAAGGATCGCAGTCTTTGTAGGCACTGTACAGTACCATTCCGGTTAAAAAGTTCACGGTATAAATTATGATCATTCCGAACGAGGACACCCACAACGCTCTGTAACAACGAGTGTTTTTTTTAAATAAAATTATTTTAAACAGCGATTGCGCGTTTTAAAGTTTGTTATCTTGAAAACACTTACATTCTCACTTGCGAAATGCTCTCGACACTGAGATACTTTTGGACGGACGCCTGGTTGCTGCAAAACATGGTCGTCCAATAAAAGGTGCCACCAATGACGACACTCCAGAAACTGTGCCGTACTGTAGGACTAGGATCCATATTGAAGAACTCTATTCTTCCGGATTTTGTGTTGTCTACCCAAACGGTGAGGAATCCGCCCGCCCAGGACATTCCGTAACTCATAATAAGGAACAACGAACCGATAAGAACGGCGGCTTGGAAGGTATCGGTCATTATCACTGCTTTCATACCACCCTATTATTTAAAAAAACAATTATTACATGATATAAAAAAGAAAACAAATATATATTTTCTTCTTCTTCTTATCATTATTTTGTGTAGTAATAAAAACATGGCACATAAAAAATACAAACCTGTGAAGCATAAAAAATGCAGACTACGTAGACTAGAGTGACGGCTATGTAAGTATTCAGGCCTGTTACTGTAAATTGAAGAACATTGTTTAAAAATTTTTTCGACGGATTTCTGATAGATTCAGTAAGAGTACAATAAATAGTTCGTGTTTGCTCACAAAGTTGGCGGCAAAAAAATATCGCGAAATGAGATCACGGTGTAAAATCGATTCCGAAAAGAATGTTGAACATATCCGACAAAAAAAGTTGCTTCAAACTAGTTGTTTTTGTTTTGCGAATTAGCGCGCCTCGAGCGCAAATAAAGAACATTCAACTGAATTGTAACGAGCTCTTTTCAAAACTGTTAATGTGCTTTCTTTTGTACCAAAGAAATAGCACAAAATTTCCGCGAATATTACTATTTTGTTTATTTGCTAAGTTGCAAATTAATTTGCAAAAAAAGATTTCTTGCGCACTTAATCATCAATTTGTGTAAATTGCGTCAAGTGTGTCTATTGTGCGCGACAGCACAATAAATCTGTGATTAATTAGACGATTGTTACGTGCAATTGTACGTGCTGCATTCCGAAATTCACTGGCAATGAATATCAGAATCCAAATCGATCATTCACTCACCGTTACTTAAAGCTAATGCAGGGGCGTACACGGCCACCGACGTGTACAACACCATTTGCAGCATGTACAACACGCTCGCGAGCAACCGGCAGTGCCGATCAAAGCGCAGATTCAGGTATTCGTAGCTCGAAGTCAGCCTTAATTTCATATAGACCGGCAGGTACAAACGAGAGGTGATCGGTACCACGAGTATGAAGGAGAAACAAGTCATCCAAAACTGAGTACCCTGGTGAGAAAACAATGATATTGAGAAAAGTGTTAATTAAATAAGTATATCACGTTTTGATTTTTTCAGAACAAATGTCGCAGGAAAATTCATTTGTTTATTAAATTAATATACGATGAATCTGCGTGTTCACACCTGTCCGTACATTTCCGCGGGATTTCCGAGTAGTTCGATGGCCGTGATAAAACTGGCGGCCAGCGACATCGCCGTGGGAAACGTGCTCATGGACGAGCCGCCTAGCAGAAAATCCTCGCTGGTCTCCTGCTTGCTCGAGAAGAAGCCGTAGAAGGTGCCGATCAGACATGAAACCAACAACATCGTGGCGAGCACCGTGTAATCCGCCCATGAGAAGTAGTAAAGTAAAGTTGGGTGCTCCTCGCGACATTTCTCTTCGTCGCTCTTGCTTCGTTGCTCCGCGGACGACGCCGACAGGAAGAGAAAGAGAACGAGAAGATGCAACCGCATCTTTGATTGAATCTGTCGATTATTTTTCTCTTTGATTCTCTGTGATATCATGTTATTTAAAAGCTGTCAATTATACGATTAACTGCATAATTTGCGTAAAATGATTTGACACAACATCACGCTAACGTAATTGCAGTAATGTTTTAGATCAGATCGCTAATTTACTGTGTTAGAACAATGGATCTCAATAATGGATTACAACATTTTCGCGAAAGAGAGAGAAAAAAGTTATTTAATATTTAAAAATTCATATTTGCACTTGTCTGCACAAAGTTTTGAAAAAGTTATTCAACACAGTACGTTTGCTCTAATGGAATTTTAACGGATTCGTATATAAATTGATATACCGCCTCAATTGATTCTTTCATTTGACACTCGTCACCTTGAATCCTACAGATCTTATCGATCACATCGGAGCGTCGTTACAGTCAATTATTCGAATCTCGTTGTTATAGTTTTTATTAAATATCGAGAGCGAAGCGAGACAATGTCAATGAATATCAAACGCTCACAATTCATCGAGTTCTAGAAAATATCGGAGTAACAATTGCGGATCGCAAGCCAGAAGTTACTAACGTTAAAAAAAAAAGACATGCAAACAAATCTTGCATTATACTAATATTTACATGCATTAATTCAGAAGGTTGAATACAATGGCGTATATGTTAATTCTCGCTTGATTAAATCGATGAAATTCAATACAGCGGATCGACTTTCGCGGTTTGTACATTTCAGTTATTTATCTTAGCTTTGCGTCATCAAAGGATAATTGCCAATAACTATAACTCAACAGTATCGTCGCCAATACCACTATTTCTCGATCATTAATAAGATGTGTTTGAACCGGTTAGACTATTAGTTCTCTGGTTAGAACCGGTTAGCTCAACGTTAAACCACAACATAATGGATCGATGACAAAAAACCGATGGCGAATCCGCGCCCTTATTACATATATATATTTTTTGATTTCTACTTTGTGTGAAGAAACACACCGCGCATGACACAATAAATGCGCCGCGGTAAATACGTTGAATAAAACTTTACGAGAGTAATTTGATACGTAAGAGACGCGTTCTTCTCGGTTGAGCAACAATGCATAAACGTAAGCCTGTTACGAGAAAACCGCGAAAGACTGAAATATATTTTATCTACGTCATTCAAGCAAAGTGTTGACGTGCAAATCAAATTTACATTTTACATTTTACATTGCTCTTCATCCGCGTGTAACGCGAGAAATGAAATTTAAATACTATTACGCTCTCCGTACATACACGACTGTATCAGAAATGTTAAAAGAGAAAGCGCTACCAGCTGGTAATTTTACAATTCAGGCACGTGTTAATTTGCTTAAACAAATTCCCCCTTCGAACATTATTATTTTAATTAAAATTTGTGTGTTTACCTGTTTGATTGCTTCTTTCGGGACGCGTATCACCCAATTCTCGGAGTTGATTTATGTACAAAAGCAGAAAATTCTAATGCCTATAATCACGGTTGTTGCTGAGTAGAAAAGTGCGAAATTGTAGTTGAATGATTTTGCTCGTCTTCCTAATATAACGCATATATGATGCTCGCGAACTTCCTTCAAACTAAACTCTCGCTCTCCTTCGCGAGCTTCTCTTATTCGCAAGGACTTTCTTGATACTCGAAGAATCGCACAAAAACTTTGTTCTTTTTCCAAAATTTTCGTGTAAAGATACGCAGGACGATCAAAGAGTCCTGGTAATGAAAAAACACTACGCAAGAAGGAAAGGCAGATTAACACGGAGAACGGATTCGAGACTGATCGTTTTAATTGTCACGTTTGCGCCTTTATACAACCCGTCCCATCATCCCCCTACTTTGCCCGCCACTCCGTACGTATGACTAGTTCCTGTATAAACTCGCCAAAACAATAGTAACAGTAATCATCTCGTTATCCTCACGCTACGCGACGATCACATAATTGATTGCCCGCGCGATTTTACAAATTCCGCAGGCTTACTTGTAATCCTGTCCTGGATATTCCACGATAAAAAACTAATTCCATTGTAACTCCCTGAAGATTCGATATTGTCGATAGACATAGAGATTGAAGAAGTTCACTGATATTATTTCTCTAAAAAAATTTACAACATATTTGCAATCCTGTGAATATTCCGCGATTCAAAGTAATTCTATTGTAAGTGAAAATTTGATTTTGTCAATGAACGCAATTAGAGATTGAAGAGATTCACTGATATATTTTCAAACACTTTTAAAACACTACACAAAATTAGCGGATATACTGGTCACAAAAAAATGACTGAACAACGTACAGGTCGACTTTTATTCGTCGCATATCTGATCTTATAAATCTGTCACGAGATTTACATCGCGTGACAAAACTGACAAAAGATTACATATAAAAGAAAAAAACACGTGTCGTTATCAAGAGAAGTATTCCGGACATATTATTTTTCTCCATTAAAAAGCGCTTACAAATTACATTCCCACGTAGTATCATAACTCAATGTACTCGCGATTGAAAACAATGTGAAAGAAATAAAAATATTAATTAAAACAAATTTAAAAAGTTCCTTTGTACGAAAAAAATATCTAAGTGTAACCTTCAAATGAATTAGCTAATAGCTAAGACACTTGAATGAAAAGTCAATGGCAGGTCCAATGTAACTTTTGTGCGATAAGTGTGAGGGAACCCCGCCGAGAATCCGGCTAAGTCCACATTTAACCGGTTACGATTTACAAGATGGTAAACAAACAAACCAGGTAGACGGGAAATGTCTAACAGATGTAAAGATATTATGCATTGGCAATGAGCGCGTCAATCGAAAATGAGTCGCGTAGATTAATTACAATCACATTCTCGCGCTTGGTGACGACATTTGAGAAACGACATACCCTTGGGAACGATAAAGTACGCCGACACGTATTGACGGTAATAAATATTTATTATCTGTGTGCGATATAAAAAAAGCGCGGAGCATTTTTTAAAAATCTTTCGTTTACACAGGTAAATTTCTTTCTTTTTTTTTCTATTAAAAGATATTTCTATTTAAGTAAATTTGTTCCGTAGTGTCCTGTTGTCAATTGTTTTGTGCAATGTACAAAACAATCGACCTGTTTTTCTGCGTGTACCTGTGCCTTACAGAAAGAAAGACTTCTGGAACACCCTGTGCACACACGCGGTTGCGTTCAGATCTAACCAGATAATACCGAATGTAATCGAGGAAGGACAGAGTAAACAGTTTTTACTTGATGCGCTTTTACATGCGCGAATAGATAATTTTTGCATAAATGATTTCTCAGATATGAGTAATGCAATGCTAATTGTTCGAAGTAAGAAATGCGCGGCGATCGTCGAGTTATTTGCATGTTTTCAATTGTAGAAAAATAAATAAAATGGTTAATTCACAAATGTAAAATAAATTCGTAATTTGCTCGAGACACATCCGAGAGATAAACTTGCGCCCTGAAGATTCAAGTCAGAAAGCGGTAAAAAACGGTTTGAACGAATTTCTGGTAAATATAATTTTTCAGGCGCAAAACATAATATTTGTAGCGATTGCAACGAGGACTTTTACGCAGTTCTTACCGATCTGTTACTCACTCGTCATGAAATTTTGATTACAAAGAATTGTGCGAACGCGTCGCGTTTCCGAAGTTGCAAAATTACACATTGATATTGCACAGATCGTATCGCGCTAATAGAATCACACACATTTACACTTACACGTACGAATTGTTGCACTCGAGGAAAAACGAATTGTCTCTTACTAGACGCAATTAATCATGCGAGACTTCATTCCTGCGGAACGTGAATTAAAGGTTGTTGAACGTAGAGACTGTTGACATCGAAAATCAAAGAGACTTTGCCAAATATAAGGAGAATACAAATACAAGAACAGCGACAAGGTCGGTTTTAACCGGATCGTAATAATAATAAATAGATATTTATAAAAAGATAATGGAATAATGTGTATGAAGAATAATAAATAAAAATAGATAAGAATAATAAATAAAAATAAATATTTAAAAAATAAAACAAAAGTTTGAGCAACAGTGCGTGTACATTCTTTAAGGTCAATGCACTGTGTAATGCCGCTGCTAAAACTTATAGAGTGTACTGAAAATCTTACTGAACTTACTAATACAACTTGTATTTCATATTATAAAATTATCTGGGAAACAATAAAAAGGACAATTAATTATTGAATATGTTCCAAGTCTATTTTTTTAAATTATATTCTTTCTCCTAACTTTAGAACGCGCGTTCAATTCAATAATTAAGAATAAATAATATTCAGAATAAATAATATTCAATAATTAATGAAATACATAATCATAAAAAAATAGGCCAGAAAATTTTTTTAAATTCTATTTTATTATCTTTTCTACTTTAATTAATCACGTTTTAAGCACGTGCCAAGGAAACTGATTGTCGCGTAAGAGAGAAAAGTCGTTGAGATATATTCGACACCTCAAAGATGAAGAGCAGCAATGCCGATGTAGCTGATATGCCGCGCAATTTCGCTGATGACTTAATTGTTCGTTAACCATGCCACCCGGTCTAGGAAGAAGAGGCACCGGGCGTGCATTGTTTTATGGGATCCGTGAGACACGTTTCAGTAGAAAAATAATTAAAAAGGACCCACGGAGTGTCCCGATCGGCGGTCCAGCGGAGACTCGCATAAATTGAAACTGGTTTTAACTGGCTGGCGTTGGTTCAATCTGGCGTGTCAATCCGAACGGACGAGATGCTTTCCGCGGCCACCTTGGTTTTTTCCCCTCCGCAAATGTCCCATCCTTTTTTATATATAAGACCAAGTTTCTGTCCCTCTCTTTTCCATCTGTACTATCGAAGAGGATTTAGAAAAGATAATTGCACGGACAACCGCACAACAAAATCGCTACCTTGATAACAAAAACGGGTTCTTTTTTCTCTCTTTCGCTCTTTACTTATATTGAATATTGCAAAATCATCACGGGTGTTGCTTCAGAGTCGTGGATTTCATATATTAGAGTAAATTGAGTAATAAATTATTGCAAGTGACTAACTATTTATTTCGATAAATACTGCAGTGTCCGATACACGCTACTCTCTATGCACTGATATAAACATGTTTGGTCGTCTCTTTCTTAAGTACACAATCACACGATATTTTTAACTAACGTTAACAATAACAGCACCAACAACATATACAGCAACATTGACAAACATACATATCTTAAAATGTCAACTATTCCCTTAAAGTTTTTCGAAAGATTAGCACATAACACATACTATATTATTATACAAACCGCTAACTTTACGTATGTAATGTACTGTATGTATTATGTGTGAAATTACTTCTATCTAATATTTTAAGTCACTATGTATTGTCGACATTTTTCTGTATAGAACAGATTTTTGTAAATACATATTTATATGAACATTACATACATGCACACAAAAATAAAAGAAACTCTTATGAAAAGTACATACATCTATAGATATGTTCCGATGCAAATTAGTTGCAGACGAATACTTAGCATATACGTTTTCAAAACGAACGTATTATCTGTGCGAAACTTTCGCTTACAAATAAAGCGGCAGTGTAAACCCCAGCTTGGAAGACATTTAATGCAATTTAGTATAAAATTATTAAAAGTATATTATTATTGGATTGTATTGTTATTTAATACAATCCGCGACGTTATTTTAGATCCTTGTAAAATTATTCTTTTCTAACACAATTGTGCTATTAATTCAAATAAATGCGGGAAATGTCTAACCTTTCTATTATTACTATATGATAGTAATTGTGATTTATACTAGATCACCTATAAATATTTAGAGCTTCGTATCAAGTTTATCGACACGATCTTCATCACAGATCACGTTAGTAAAAGAATACTTTCTCTCCGCGTTATCGTTGGGTTCTACTTGACGCCGTCGATGTCGTATACGCCGAGCTATCACGGGGAAGAATAAATTCGAATCCAACTCGGCTTGATCCTTTGCAAACAAACGGAAGAAGTTGCTGACGAGTAGGCCGAGCACAAAAGTCATTAAAAATCCAAGAGGAGAATACCACATGTACGAAATACGATATAAGTAAAAATACGAACTGTCGCCGGTGCTCCTGAAAAAATAGATAGAGAAGATTTTGATTAATTAATAATTAATAAAGAACATTTTTATTGTTTTAAATAACGGCGTGTCTTCTTCATGTAACAAATCACTTACTTAGGGAAGTTCGTAACGGTTTGCAAAATAGATATTGTTTCATTTGCAATAATATTATTTACATCACAGCCTTCGATAGTTGTTGGTAGTACAGGCGGCCTCGGACGTGGCTGGCCAAAAGCGATCCAAAATAAAAACGCGAGCGACGTAAGGCATCCAATTATTGTACCACCTTCCGTTGCCGATTCCGTGCCCATGCCGAGCGTGAAAACGCCCAGTATTGGTCCGCCGACTACTCCAAAAATAGTTAAGCTAGTCTACGATTAAAAAAATTGTATTACTAACAATAACTTCAACGTGAGATTTATTCTGTATTTACATATATCAAATAATTTGGAAACTGATCATGTGAGTGTTTCTCGATTTACTTGGAGAACTCCACCTAATAATTGTGCTAGAAATGCCAGAAGAATGGAAAGTAAGCCGAATAGAAACGAGATCATTTTAGCGATAGAAGTTGATTTTTTAGGAGAGAATTCTCGTTTAGTGTACTTTCTGTACAAAGGTTTCAGGTAATCTTCTAACGTTACAGCTGCCAGAGAATTCAGAGCTGCTGATATTGTGCTAAGACCAGCACTAAAAACACCTGTAAAAGAATATATATGTATTTATTTTTAGTTTTAAAAAGGTACATATGTATAAATATGTACATATTGTAATATGTACATATTACAAGAGTTTTCTTTTTAGATTATTAAAATAAATTGCTTTTGGAAATGTTGTACCTGCAATGAAGAGGCCTGGCAAGCCAGGCATACTAGACATTGTGTCCATAACGTACAGCGGCATAAGCATATCGGGCGAGGTGATTCTTTTCTGAAGGTATGGGTCACATCTGTGATATTTGCTATATATTGCTAGGCCTGAGAAGCAAGTTGTGATCGAGAGAACTGTTAGAATAGGCCAAGACAACCACATAGATTTTTGTGCAGCTTGTATATTTCTAAACCAAAATGTATTTAATGCGCTTCTTCATCATATATATACATATATTTCCCATATAAAATAATCTATCACACAATGTTTTTTTACATTAAGTTCTTTTTACGCATGCTTTTGCTGTTTAATTATATCTTCCAAAACTTACTTGACAGTTAATGAACGCTGAACCTGTACTTGATTCACACCATAAAGCGATAGAAACGTGCATAAGCCGCCAAAAATGAGAGACCACCAGGTATGTCTTACTGTTGGATCAATCGAGATGCTACAAAATAACGTTAAAGATAAACAAGCTTTATTAGCGCATACAAATCGTCTCCAAGCTCTCGAGCTGTGTTAATAAAACAAAATGCAAATACAACACCTATCGAATTCAATACGTTGGCCCTGATTCGCTATCTCCCATATCTGCCCCAACCCTCCTGTATCGTGCGCGGCTATGGCAATAACAACAAACACAGCGGCAAACATGAGCACAGCTTGAAATACGTCTGTTATCAGCACGGCCTTAATGCCGCCTATGCTCGAATAAAGGGAGCATACGAGACCGATAATGATAATGCTGGCGGTCTTGGAAATTCCCGTGGTCGCCTCCAAAGCTAAAGAAGGAGCATAAAGTACCACTCCTGAGTACAAAAGCAGTTGAATCCAGTAAATAAAACTAGCCATTGTTCTAGTTCTTACTCCGAAACGTTTTTCTAAGTACTAAAAGAAAAGTAATATACTCCTTCAAATATGTATATCCATATTGACAACAATCTCAATCAATTGCAAGTGAGTTATTGCATTTAACGTGGAACAAACCTCGTAAGTGCTAGTTGCCTGTAACTTGAAGAACACCGGCAGGAATCCGTAACATACAATCGGCGTGCCAATCAGATACGATACGTTTATTGCAACAAACTGCGTCCCATATGTGTAATTTTCGGCAGACACTCCGAGCAATGTGACTGCAGACATGAAAGACACTGTCAAGGCGATGGCTACTGTTATAATGCCCATGGATCGACTTGCAACAAAATATTCCTGTTGCAACAAAATGTCAAGAAAAATTATTTATATATAGTGCTGTTGTTTAGGTTTTTTTTCAAAAAAAGTTGGTAACACTTGCATACCTCCATGGTTTTCTGACGACCTCCGCTAAATCTGTAGTAAATACCAATTCCTATACTTATGCACAGCATGATTGCTATTACTAAATAGTCGGTCCATTGCAAAATATGTTTTTCCGTCATGGCAGACTGAAATGTTAAATAGCAAATTATATATGTATCTCCATTACTGTTTAATTAATGTAAAGAACAGAGAGAGAGAGAGAGAAAGAGAGAGAGAGAGAGAGAGAGAGAGAGGGGAAAAAGATAATAAAAGAAAAAAGATATAACAAATTGCAAACAATTTTAATCGTTCCAATCAAGAGTCACATTTATACGAGATTCGAATTGACGATAATCTCATAACAATGATCACGTCAGATAATCGTGCCAGATCGTTCATTCTATTGTCATTTCACGTGAATTCAATTGCATTGGAATGTTTACTTTCCGGACGCACAAGTGGCAAAGTGAAAGCTCGAGTAGCATGCTTATGAGAACGGAGCGGAAATTTTGCCGAATTTAATATTGGATCTCACTTGTACTTGTGAAGTAACACCGAACTATTTGCGCATAACAGAACAATTCTGTGATAACAGAAAACGTCATAAAACGTTGAGCAAACACGGATAATTCGCGTTTATCAATTGTGTTATTCGCTCGGAACGCCATTCAATCGATGTTAGCAGCAATTACGTAAAAATTCAGTCAATGATCGAGCAAACGCGTCAAGAAGCGTCGAACATATATATACACACGTGGACGACCACTCACGTGTCCGCAACGCCATGAGTCTTCGGAAATGTTTATACAAAAAGACGGAAAAATCGGACATAGCAATGCCGATCTGTCTGACTTACCAGATACGCAACAGAATTCGGAATCTCGCCGGCGGTCCACGGGACGAGCTATCAATGGACGAATGACACGCGTAAATGACGCTCTAAGAGAATTTTCTACCAAAGAGAACTTCCGCGCACGCTCCGCATAGTGGTTCGATCGCGTCCGATCTACGCCGGCCTCGCTTATTTTCCTGGTTCTTCGTTCAATCTTATCTTCTTATTCAGGAATGCATGGAATTTCTGTCCGTACGCACAAACGAAAAAGAAGTTTTTGCTATTATATGACCAGCAAGAAAAATTATTTGCTGAGTTTATCTACTAAATTTTTTGTCTCATTTCAACAAAAACGTTTTGCTGACAATACAAAGGCTGCTTTCCTTTTAGGAGACACAGTCGACACAAGTCGACTGTGTCTCCTAAAAGGAAAGCAGCCAAAAACTTCAATAAGTTTAGCAAATTTTTCTTGCTGACTGTACAGTAACAAGTTTTCTTACTGTTCTAGTAAATCTCTTTTTTCCATGCACATGTATTCAAGATCAGGGACCACTAACTTTTGACGATCCAAGTTGCAAGCAAAAAAAAAATACAGAAGAAAGAAATAGGAAAAAGAAAAACAATATTGCAATTTTTTTTAGTACATATTAAAGTTAAAACATACAAAAACAACCAAATTTTTATACTTAGAAGATGTGTCGAATTGTTAATGTAAAAACTTCTTGTGGGTATTAAATTATTCACAATTGATTCACAATTGTCAATAAATTATTGACAATTTTATATTACCGTTAATGCGGTACATAGCGATTTTTTACTTTGAAAAGTGAGGATCGATGATCATTTTTTAGTATAAATATTTTGTACGAATATTTATATTTATGTTCCTGTTCGTTACAAGTTGGTTTTTTCCATAACACAACTTATTACAGTTAGTTAAAACAATCTCGATACATTCCACTCTTCAGAAGTTTATATACAGGGTGTCCCATCTAACTTGAGCATCCTAAATATCTCGCTTATTTTTTATGATAGGAGAATGCCGAGAAGGATCTTTATTCAGTTCGAAGAGACAAATACTGTAATAAACAAGAAATTTTTTTTCAAGGTAATATTTTTTATTTTTAGGTAGGATTTCAAAGTTATTGTTATTTTTTTATCTGAAAGTACATATTTTTATCCTTGCGATATGATAGACAAGGTCAAGACGAATCCAAAAAGTTCTTGTTTATTACAGTATTTGTCTCATCGAACTGAATAATGACCCTTTTCGGCATCCTCCTATCATAAAAAATAAGCAAGATATTTAGAATGCTCAAGTTAGGTGGGACACCCTGTATAATCATATTTAATAGAAATTATTACATGTTATCCCTAACAGCACGCGACATACTGCGTATCATCCCATTTTCATACTCAATATACTGTACTCATCCGTAACGTACTGAGATATACGGATAACGTCATTTACAGTAGAATTCGGTTTTCTGTCGCGCGCGTATGTTCTCAGGATGTACGCAGTATTACTAAAGTGATACGTACGCCTTTATATCGCGCGCGTACATTCTCAGGTTTAACTGAAGGTACGTATATCTATGCCATCTGCATATGTAAAGTTCTTTCCTCTTTCTCGTAGCCGCCGGCAGCCATAGGATAGGATCCAAAATCGACTTGAGATATCAAAGGTAATCCTT